TATTCATATAAAATTATTATGTATCACTAAATTACATATAATATATAAAATAAATTTAGTACATATAGTTATATAAAAAATGATTATACATATAAATGTAATATAAAAATTACATAAGAATTCCTATACCATATAACATATATAAAAATTACGAAACATATTACGGGTATAAATTTATAAAAATTTGAAATATATATAAATTACACAACTACACTTTTCTCTTTGGTCAGGCCTAAGATAAAGCTTTTTATTCTTTTGTTTTTTTTTTGAAGAGTCTTGCTCTGTTGCCGCAAGACTGGAGTGCAGTGGCGCGATGCTTGGCTCACATGCAAACTCCTGCCTCCCAGGTTCACCAGCCATTCTCCCTGGCCTCAAGCCCTCCGATGTAGCTAGGACTAAAGGTGCCTGCCACCATCCGTTGCTAATTTTTTATATTTTTAGTAGGACGGGAGGTTTCATTGTGTTAGCCAAGAAATGGTCTCAATCTCCCTGACTCGTGATCCGCGCTGCCTCGGCCTCCCAACATGCTGGGATTACAGGCATCGAGTCACGCGCGCCAGGTCTAAACTTTTTATTCTTAATTAATTTCACTCCATTATTTATTTTATTATTTATTTATTTATTTATTTATGAGATGCAGTCTTGCTCTGTCATGCGCAGGCTGGAGTGCAGTGGGCGCGATCTTGGCTCACTGCAACCTTCGCCTCCTGGTTCAAGCGATTCTCCTGCCTCAGCCTACCGAGTAGCTGGACATACAGGCACGTGGCCACATACCATGGCTAATTTTTTTTGGTATTTTTAATAGAGACAGGGTTTCATTATGTTGGCCCGGCTGCTCTCGAACTCCTGACCTCAGGTGATCCGCCCTCCTCAGCTTCCCAAAGCACTGGGATTACAGGTGTGAGCCACCACACCTGCCTGAATTCACTCTTATCCATTATTATCCTTCCATCTTACATTTCCATTATTTAAATTGCCAGTTAATTGGTAAAGGTGTCAATAAAAATCTATAGAATTCCATACACGTGTGATTAAGCTAAATGTATTTTTTCCTCCTTTCACATCTACTGATCATTCTTCTTTACTGTCCTCCATCAGAGTGGATAATTTAGAGCTGATCATTTCGTTCTTGTTTTTACATGTAGGGATTTTTTTTTTTTTTTTTTTTTTTGAGACGGAGTCTCGCTCTGTCGCCCGCGGCTGGAGTGCAGTGGCCGGATCTCAGCTCACTGCAAGCTCCGCCTCCCAGGTTCACGGCCATTCTCACGGCCTCAGCCTTCCCGAGCAGCTGGGACTACAGCACCCGCCACTCACCCGGCCTAGTTTTTTTGTATTTTTTAGTAGAGACGGGGTTTCACCGTGTTAGCCAGGATGGTCTTGATCTCCCTGACCTCGTGATCGCTCGATGTCGGCAAAATGTTTGATACAAAAGATAACTCAAGAATTTTAGTTTTAGGAAAGCAAGTAAAATCTGTGGTAAATATTTTGACATATAATGAGACAGTGTTTAAAGGTCATCAAAATTTTTAAACAGAATCATACCTTCTTCTGCATTTTGTAACCACTCAACAAATTTCTTCATCTGGTCAAGAAAAACACTTTTGCCTTTAGCAACGTGTGCTTCCTTATACCATTTCAGTATTGCTTCTTCGCTCAGAACATCAGCTGCAATTTGAAATCAAAGATTTCAAAGTTACTATACAAATGTCATGTTTCAAAACAACTTCATGTCTTACAGTTTAATAGAAAGCAATCGTTTTTAATATAAAGCATTCTGTTACTTATCAGAAGAGAGGAATCAAATTGATTTTCATGTAGCACAGTGCCCTATTTTGATAGCTTACTAAAGGCTTAAGTAGGCATCTTAGGCATGATATAATGCAAGCCTATAGCTCACTACTAGGACTTGGAAATCTCTCACAGTGCTAATTTGCTGGTAGGAAATAGAATTATTTTGTAATTTGGCAAATGAATCAGCAATTCCAGCATTTTAGAACATTTTGTGTCCTGCCAAGTTCAACCATATCTTGATTAAAGAGCAACCTCAAATCACCAGTGTCTTTTAAGGGGATTGGGATTTTCTTTTTTAGGAGAAAAATGGCAAAGGAAAAAAATGTAGATAATATGCAATAATGTTAGCAATTAGATATAAAAAGGAACTTCTGGGTTGTGGGAGTAATACACACATAAACTGAAGTTCCACACTTTCTCCATCACTAAATCACGACTTACTTTCCCACAGTATATCAAATTACAAGAGTAATATTTTTTCTCTACTACATTAAGGGAAAACAGACACATTAGCTAGTTTCCTACAGGTTTCTGACAACAACAAAAAAATGTTAACTATCTTTGGTCTAAAACTCTAAATTCCACAAATGTGCCTTGATATTCTCAAGATACCATTAATTGAGAGTATTTAATGTTAAGAATGAGAATATAAAAATAAGTGTACATATTCTCCCAATGTTCTAATGTCCTAATGGGTTGTTGTTTGGGAATTTGTAGTGGGAAACGAGATAGAAAACAGGTACAAAGCATTTATTATTGTCCCTGAGATGTGCTCAATTCAGTACAAATACTGATAAAGCCATATAATGTTAATAAATTACTCGAATGATATATTTTCAGTTAAAATGTAATTTCAACTTATGAAAATGACAGAAACAGTTTAATACTGTTTTCATTTAAAACATCACTGATATTTTCATAACAAAAACACTGGCTTTTTATTTTTAAAGAATTATTGGCTCTTGGAAAATGTTCTTGGATTAAATTGAAGAGACTGACCTGACTAAAATGAACAAGATTTGTTTATGAAAATAAAAGTTTTTTTTTTTAAACTTGTTTATTATTATCACTAAAAACACTACATTTTGCAAAGGAAGCAAGAAGTCTGAATTTACTTATAGAGACTGGATGCAAGAGTTACAATCAGGGGTCCTATAGAATTACTCTTAGCTTCTAATTATTTTAGCTCTTTGTTTCCAGCTCTCCACTGAGATAAAAGAAATTTCTACTAGCCATCAGAGCCTAACTGTCATAGAGTTGAGGAGCAGGCAGTTGTGTCCCAAGGAATTGACCTGTTATTATGCAAGACTGCCTTGCAGAGACTTTTAAAGAACATTAACAGAGATTTTAAAAGTCCCTTTTATGTAATTTGTAATTTGCCTTTAAGATGCTTGTGATTAGATCCATAATTATCAAACTGGATCATGTCTTCCTGTCTGTAGAATAATTTTGGGCATATACACCCAACGTATGTATATTTTTGAGTTTATAAATTATATTCATGCACTACTGAACTATCGTTATTAATGTTCTAAACAAACAATATAATTTTAAACTGTGACAAACATGGAAAGGAGAATTGATTTTTTTCTTCACACCTTACTGAACTGAGGATGATACAAAGTACAGGTTGGAAAGCTGATGTAGACTGCAGTTTAGTGATACTATTTGTCTGAGCTTTCCTTTTGAAGGTTGAGAGCTCATTCCTGTGTTTTATTGCCCCACAGAGGCTGAAAGAGACCATGCAACTACTGAAATGCTTGTCGACGTCAGTGCTTGTGAAAAGCACAGTAAATGATAGGCAAAACCTATCAAATGCATTGTTTACTGCAAATCTTGTGCCTTGATATTCTTAAATTGCCATTAATTGAGAATATTTAATGTTAAGAATAGGAAGGAGAATTTAAAATAAGAGGAGTCTACATATTAATGGTGCAATGTTGAGTTCTTAGAAGAACCCAGTTTGGTAATAACTACTTGCTGAAAGATCAAACTTCTAGCACCGGAGAATTATTAACTAAAAGCTACTGAAGTATCTACATGGAACACCATAGAGGCAAAGCATTAACATCAAAGAGTGTAAGAAGAAATTCAACTTCTATTTAGTGAAAGGAAAGGTCTGAAAAGGAAAGAACTCCTTGAGGGATAAAGAATCAGACAATTTTTTCCCTCACTAAGGATAAAGTGGGGAAAAGAGTTAATTAAAACTGAGAAATCATGTTTGGTGGGATATTCCACAAATGCCTCTTAGGAATACAGAATAACAGTAAAAGACAGTAAGAAAGGAACACATTGTATGATGGCACATAGAGACTGGAATATATGTTTCCCCTTCTATCTGGCCAACTTCTTCACAATGTTTGGTGAGATGCATGCACCTCGAGAGCCTTCACTTCTCCCCCTCCAAATTAGCTTTAACAAGTTAGGTGCCCTTCCTCTGTGGTCCTATCCCTTCTGACACCCTCTGTGTGAGGCTTATTTCAGCAATTGACATGGTGACTGTAATTCTTTGTTTTCTTCTACATCCTGAAATTCAGGAAGTCAGGCACTATATTTTGTTCATCTCATTTCCAGCATTTAATGAAACACCTGCCCCATAGTATCCATTCAACACATGTATAAGGAATAAATTTGTTAACTTGATGAGAAAAAAATAAATATTTCTCAATTTGTAGAGTTCTAATGTATTCATGAGGATCAAAGAGACAATATTGTAAAAGTGGCTTGAGAACTGCTAAATTTTAGATCATGTTAGTTATTTAGAAAGTTAGTCTAAAACTATGTCACTTGAAACTCTTGAAATTCAGAATTTTTTTATTAGGAATGTCACATAGGGACACAAGTCAAAAATAATTTACCCTAAGAATGCTGGGAATATATGCTGAGAAGGGCACTCACCCTTTTTTAGAACTAGAATAAAAAACTCCTTTTAGAAAAATTTGCATGCAGGATAGAATTTAACCTAAAAAACTTCTGCAAACAAGAAAACCCATGACAGAGATAATAACAGTACTTGACAAGGTAGTTTTATACGTTTTAGACCATGCTGAGTCTATGGGACTTATCTTCAGGGAAAAAAGAAGAGAAAATTATTTTTAAAAGTCAATAATGTGATGCTTGAAAGTTAGCAATGGATTTACTCTTTCTTACTGCCTGAAATATACAAATCTAGATTTTAATACAGAAAGAGAATCTTTGCAAAATGACCCACCACCACTTTTTTCTTTGCTGACTAGTATTATTTAATTTGCTTTTATTCCACTGTTATTTATATAAAATATTCATAAATCTTTCAATAATGATATTCAATTAAGTAATTGGATTTGCCATGGCTAATCATATGCCCAAGTTTCTGTTATCCTCAAGTTCTGGACATGTTGGGAAAGGGGAGCTGTGTGTGTGTATGTCCATGTATGTGTTTGTGTGTGCTATGTGTGTAAGAGAGAGATAAAAATGAAAATTAAAAAGGAGCAACGGTTTCCATTACATTTTAAAAACCACATTTTAAAAACTATGTTCCTTATGACAAACTAAAGGAATCCACAGAAACTTGGTAAAAGCAGCAGAGAAGACACTATTCCGTATTTGTAAGATGTGGATATGTACATGAAATCAAAGGTAAGTATAATCTTGAACATGTTACTGGAGTTCATAGCATTTGTTGCTTCTTGAATTCTATATACTTTACACCAGTGGTCCTGATACAACAGTCAGAGCATCACTTTGGAAACTTGCTAAAATGAAAATTCTCAGGTCCAATCCTGGCCCTACTGAATCAGAATCTCTGGGGGAGCTGTGTTTTATACCAAGCTCTCTGGGTAATTCTTAGGCATATTAGGAAAAGAGTGCTTTAACACTCACTGTTTATTAAGTCTTTCTAGGCATATAAAACACAGAATGAGAGCATCAGATCTTTACAGAAACAAATCAAATACATGTCTCCTGGTGCACAAGTGTTTGGTGGACAAAATAAGGTGAAAGTAAAAATCTGGCAAAAAAGAGACAAGACGGTAAACATAGTTAACACAGTAATGCTCTTAATGTGGTATGGAACAATCATTCCTCAGGGATTCCATGTTCTCAAGAGAAAACATGGAATTATTTCACTTAGGAAAACAGACTATATATATCATTTTGTGGAAAATTACAAAATTACCTAGAAAATGGTATTTAAAATGTTAGTTCAGTGATGTATTTTAGGTTTCCACTTTTAAAAAAGTTTCCCAATTTCATTTCCAAAAATAACTAAGGCAGAATTAAAATTGATGTTGCCACTCACCCTTCCTGTGTTCCCTGGGGCCAGGTCATACTTGCCACAGACCTAACTAATTTTAGGTTATTTAAACGCTGATTACCTAGTTAATCAATAAGCCTAAGAGCTCATGCCTCTTCTTTTTACTTCCCAGTGCTTACTTCTTGAGTTACTTTATAATTTCGGGTCATACTGACCCTTAGCATCTGGGGCTGATGAATGAGAAAAAACTCAAAGTAGCCAGTTTTACTACCTGTCAGTAGTTGTTATAAGAAGTCTAAAGGAAAAGGAGGTTGGCATTAGTGGTTAAAATAGAGAAATCTGCAGGATTTTAATAGTTCATATGCCACCTAGATGCCATTTCCCATAACAAGGGGTTTGCTGATTCTTTGTGATTTCATTGCAATAACAAGATAGGGTGCTCCTGAAGATGAGACTCAAACAATGATGTCTCAGTTAAAAAAAAATTTGGTGAGAAACACTGGTTGAGTTATCTTTTAAGTGACAAGAAAGCAAACTATGTTCAGGTAACTAGTTTATGAACAGTTTGGTTTTCTGTAGTGGAAAAAATTTACCACCCTCAAAACAGTGAAACCTGTTCCATAAGTCTCTCTGCCAGTTTTACAAATGGAGCCAGCTGTGGCCACGGAAGGTTGGGCCCCACTTCTCATTCTGGGCTGCTGGGTACCATCTATGAGTTGGTAACACGGCTTGCAGGTTTGGTTCTGATGGGTGGATCGCTCTGGGTATCATTGGGTGGGGCCTAGTTTTAGGACACTGCTATCTTATGACTAAATCCAAGAAGACCCAACTCAGATTTGGTTGGAGAAAACACCAATTACTGAACCTCAAGTGGTAATGGGTGGCCATCATATTTTCCTACTGACTATTATAATTGTTGCTGAATACTTTGTGCTCTGAAAAAGTAAAATATCACCCAAACACCTGTGGACAAGATTCATTCATTTGAAGAATCTATGTGGCCAATTAAAATTCATTGTGAAATGCTATTAAGCATTTTTAAAAGAGCTATTATTTATGTAAAACTTTTATTTTCCAAATTCCCAAGATATAATTCAAAATAGACAAATTTAGGAACACATCAAAGAGAAAATAAACATTTGGCTGGTATTAACTTTTCTGATATCATGATATTTATGAATATAATAACATAAACATATTACAATGTTCAAAATGTATCATTTCTTAAGTGTTCCTTTTTCTCCCTCACAAAACTATACAAATTTAGGCCCAAAAAATAGCCTAGGACATTTTTATATGCTGTAGGTATACAGATTGAGATCAGTTAAAACCTTTAGCATTCATTTTTTAGTGCCAGTTGTCATGGCAACCTAATCCTTATAAATACAATGAAAAGACAGTAAATGTGAAAACCTAAAAATAGCCATTCCCTTGGAAAATAGAAGAATGGCTGGGCCAAGTAACTAAAATACAAAGTAAAAAGGCTAATTACTTCAGTAATTTTAAAGTCAGATTTATGGTACCTAAAAGGGTCTGAACATAATATGTATAGCATTTTGATAATCATTGTTATTAGAGCTAATCCTTACAATTCAAAAACAGGCTCAATTTTATATAATTACATTTTTTTCCACCATCCCCAAGAAACAATTACCAGTTCATCTACCAATGAGAAGTGCCCAGGGGCCTAAGCAGGGTTTCCAAGCCAACGCATATGTGGCGTGTATGCCTCCTCTCTCTACGTGGTATGGTTGCCTCAATAAAACTTCCACAAATTAGCATCTTGCTGTCCATCTCTAAACAGAGCCCCACGACCTCCTCTGCCTCATTCCCTGCTCTGCCCCTCAAAGAGCTTCAGCAAAACACAGAAGCACAGCAGTGGCACATGGATGGATACCTTTATAAAAGAGAACCACAATCTTCTGAAAGGCTTTCATGAAATGGATGTTGTCGTAGCAGTATTCCTGAACCTTCTGGAGGAGGATCAGCTCTGACTGGCCTTGGGAGCTGAACACAGCCAGCAGGGGAGCATATTGCTAGAACAGAAGTGGAGAGTAAAAGCCATCACTTGCGTGGGAGGTACACAGCTGACACTGCTGGAACCATAACAATAACCTGGAGGGTTGCTTAGAAAAGACTGACTTTAGGATTAATACCTTGTTATCATCATATTGTGTCCAACAGGGTGAGGGGAACAGAACAGTAGGAACAAAGCAGTATGGCAGACCTGTGAGGGAACTGGGAAGAAGATTCACACTTTCTCAATGGCAGAGCTACAGTCCAGTAATACAATGGATATTGCATGAGGATATGACTGCATTTTCACAATATCTCTTAGACATAGCAGGCATAGCAATTATCTTTAATATAGGCAGATTCTCATATTTGGACTCCTAGTGGGTACAGAGAAAGAATCTTGATGGGCTGCTGGGATAAAAAGCATTCATTTAGAAATATCCTTGACTTTCTGACACTGATGCACAGCCATTGTTTTTCTGAGACTTACTCAATTCAATACTTATCTCTTCTAAAGGGCCTTCCCTGATCAAAGTAACATGGATAGTTTATTCACTGCTATGTTCTCATGAACGGTGGGTGCAAACTTGAAAAAAATTAGAAAGTATATGTTTAGTCTGAGTCTGGGGTAATTGTAGTTGGAACCCATTTGTCATACTCTCAATTAAGACAAATGTGGGCCAGGCGTGGTGGCTCATGCCTGCAATCCCAACATTTAGGGAGGCTGAAGCAGGAGGATAGCTTGAATGCAGGATTTCAGGACCAGCCTGGGCAACATAGCGAAACAACATCTCTACCAAAAAATGAAGAAATTAGCCAGATGTGGTGGCAAGCACCTGTAGTCCCAGCTAGCTGGGAGGCTGAGGAGGGAGGATGGCTTGAGTCCAGGAGTTCAAAGTTGCAGTGAGCCCAGATTGTGCCACTGCACTCTAGCTGAGGCAACAGAATGAGACTCTGTCTCAATTAAAAAAAAAAAAAAAAAAAAAAAGCTGCAGTTTGCCCTTGGCTGGGTCAGTTCCTTGCTAAGCGCTGTTACCTTCAGGTGCTTCAGAGCCTGCTCTGCAACAAGTTCTTCCTTCTTGTTCCACTCAACGGCGTTCATTATACAGGTCCACAGAAGACCAATCACTGCTGTTTCTGGAAGATCATTCCTCTTCATTTCTTCTTTGACATAAAGCACCACCTACATTTCATGGAAATGGGGTCAGAAAGTAACAGGCAGATGGAGAGCTCTCTCCTCCCTTCTAGCTGCCCAGTGAGTCAACGTTTTGGGGCAGCTAAGAAACAATCTGCTTGGCTTCTCCTTTCCTTGTCTGCATTCTCAGACTGGAAGAGGGAGAAAAAATACAATGATTTGTTCTCAAGCAGACTTATTTTTAGTACCAAAATTAATAGGCTTAGCTCTGGTCAGGAGCTGCTGGATAATGTGGAGTAAGAGAGGATTTTTGTTTCCTCATAGAGAAACCCCTTTGAGTCTAGTTAGAGTAGGGATACTTGGGCCAGTTTGACTTTTTGGAGATTTAAAGAAGGCAATAGAGTTGTGAACTTTTATCTCCATCCCTAAACTTTAAAACCTCTTGATGGATACCATCTTGGGTTTGTACAGGTCCATTCTCCACAATTTATTCTTCAGTCATTACTTTTGATGATCGTTATGCCCCATCTCAGTGAAAAGTTAATTTGTAAATAAATTGTAAAGTGCAAAGGTAATTTTTAGATTTCATATACATCAATTCAGCAGTATTCAGTAACTTATTTTCCCTTTCGAATTATGTATAAATATGCAAATTTATACGCAACCCTGACAGTATGGAATATAGGCTTGCCTAACAATGTATTTTATATCAAATTTATTTGAAAGGCTTTTTCCTTTTAAAATAAAATAATAAATAGAGGTTTGGGCCTCAGAAATGATTAAAAGTCATCATGATCTCTCCAGTATACTAGTTTGCAAGTAGTAGTAAAAGCTTTTTCTTCTCCCTTTTCTTGTTTAGTGGAAACACATTGCTTTCTTGACCTCTGGCCTGGTGTGCAGAAATGCCAGCAGTGACCTGAGTAGCCTTTGAAAGCAGGAGCTGGGCAGTCCCAGTCCCTGTGCTGGCTGGAGGAAGCCACATGAAAGTGTGACATCCTGGCATCTACAAGCATCACAAGGCTTTTTATGTTTCCTTCTTTTCCCCATGGAAAATCATGTACAAATTCTTGCTTGGAGAAATATGACTGAATACACTGTTATCCTTAATATCATGAGACTTAAGAATATTTGTCATTCCAACACCTCCACCTGCTGGATAGTATCAGTCCTACATTCTCCAGCGTTCAACCACGTGAGGTGCCATGCAGGGCTTGGAGCATGGAAGTAGGTGCAGGTCAGGCATTTTGGAGCAGGTGGAAAAAAAGAAAGGATGCTTTATGTTAATGTTTAGATTGTTGTGTGAAAGATTTGAAACTTCAAATAGAAAGCTTTCTCCAGATACATTAAAAATAAAAAGAAGATATAGTCATAGCTTTGTGAACTATAGCATGTATATATGAACTATGTATATGCATATTATAAAAAAGATAGCTTTTACATTATAGGGAAACACAGCTATTTCAAGTGTGAGTGGGATTAAACAAGTCACACATTCAACTAGTCTTTTCCCATGATAGGAATTCAAGCTTTTTTCAAATAAAAAGCCTACATATTCATACAGAGCGATGAACAAAAAATCCAGTGTTAATTCCAAACACTAGGCAGATGCTTAATCAGGTTAGATAATCTGCAACAAAATTTAAAAACTACCATATAATGGGCTATACTGATAGTGGATAGTCAAATCTATTTGACAGATGACATATTTTGAAAATCATAGCAGCCTGGTAAAATGTCATTTGTGTGAAAATCACTATTAATTTCTGGACCATCCTAGAGTGTTAACAAAAATGGAGGATTCTAAATCTATACTTTGAAGCTGAGTTAATTTAAATGGTAGGAATAAGTGGATAAATTTACAGCAATAGGCATAGGGCAGACTTTTTAAGGAAAGCCTTTGCTACACAGCCCATGTAATTCCTCCCATTCATGTATATTGCAGTGATGTCTGCCCGTGTTCTCTCACCTCCTTGATCGGGCATTCCTGAGAAAGACGCTCCTGGAGCTCCTTCTGCAGTTCCTTCCTGGTGCCCAGGGACTGCTGGACTCGAAGGAAGTCGGAAAGCTCCTTAAGACCTGCGTCAGTGAAGTATTTAGCAAAATGATCCACACTCTGTCTGTTAACTGGAAAGAGTTCCTGAAAGAGAAAAAGGGAGACTGTTATACACAAAGCCATTCAAATTTCGGCAAGCATAAAGGACAAAATCTTCATTTCACTTAGAATATCTCATATTTCGAAGAAAAGAATAAGACTGTTTTACAAAACAACAAATCACTGGTCTATTTATTGAGCTATTGAGCTAAACATCTTCTGAAATTAGGCAGTTTCACAAAGAAAAAGAAAAAAAGGTAAGCAATTGAGATAAACTTGGACTCTATTGTGCCAGTATTGAGAGGTGAGGCTTTTAAAGAGTTACTGGATTATAAGGGCTCTGCCCTCATGAATGGATTAATCCATTCATGGATTAATAGGTTATGTTGGGAGGGGACCTGGTGGCTTTAAAAAAGAGGAGGGGAGACCTGAGCTAGTACACTCAGCCCTCTCGCCATGTGATACTCTGAGCCTTCGTGGGACACTGCAGAGTCCCCACCAGCAAGAAGGCCCTCACCAGATGCAACCCCTTGACATGGGACTCCATAACTGTAAGAAATAAGTTCCTTTTCTGTATAAATAACCCAGTTTCAGGTGTTCTGTTGTAAGTAATAAAAAAGGTCTAAGACACCTACCATACCAATTCTAGTTTATTACATAATTCTGATGGAAATTTTCAAAAAGAGCAATATACCATAGCTGCTCTCATATTTTCACCTCATTTCCATTTTACCCTACACAGTTTGGCAGAATCTCAGTAACACTTAGTCACGATCTAATCCTGGGTGAGTTCAACACCCATCTATGAAATTAAGATGATTTTCAAAGCTCTCACATTTTTCAGACTGCTGCAGTGTCTAAAAAATATATCCAGGCTTTTGTATTGGTTAGATTTGCATACATATGGCCAATGGCTATGTGGTTCCAGGAAAAGCCTCAGTAGATCTGTAGGGTTTGCCACCACCTATAGGAACACAGCTGGAGGGCTCCTATGTCAGGATTCAAATTTCAATGTTCTATCATCCTATTAATTTCCCCTGTTGAGTCATATGTTTCAAAATGTCAGAAGAGAGCTGGTGGGAGCAGCTATCAAACATGCATTCATAATAAAGCAAACATTTTATACCACACTGAAACTGCATCACTGATATTTCCTCTACCACTCCACATCTTCCAAATCTCCAGGGCAGGGAACTAATGTACTTTTATTGAGTTTCTTCTATGAATCAAAATGTACTGGCACTTTCCTCATAACAACTGGGTAAAGCAGACATTTTTTGTAGATGATAAACTAAGTTTCAACAAGGTTATGCAGCTTGACCCAATTTATGCTGCCAAAAATATTTAAGAACAGAGCTGTGTGCCCCAAAGTCAATATTTATTCCATTACTCTGTGCTAGCACTCAATATTCTATTTAGGAAGAGTGTGACTGCAAAGTGTGATTTAAAGTTATGTTCATATCACTCATACATATCACTTATGAACTACATTCCAAATTCTTATGAATAGTATAGAATACATTGAAAATTATTATTCAGATTAAGTTGAGGGGAAGCCAGTCTGAATCATACGATGTCATTTTTTGACTTGGAACATGGTTTGTATTTTTTTGAGAAACCCTACCGTGGTACAAATCTCTATCATCTCATCCCGAGATTAAGGTCTCCCTGCTTTTGCTCTTGCTCCTGAGTCTATTCCCAAAGTGACAGCAAGAGTGATCCTGTTGAGACTCAAAATCACATTACACACCATTCTGCAGAGAATTTCCAAAAGCTTTCTATCTCATTTGGAATACAAGCCAAAGCCCTAGATGATACGGGCCTTGCTACTTCTCTGAGCTTATCTAAACTTTCGCTCTTACCTGCTCTCCCCTTGCTGTCCCCAACGTGGGCCTTCCCATTCCCCATTCCCTTTGCCTGGAATGCTCTATGTGGAGATACTTAAACAGTTCGCTCCACACCTCCCTCAAGTCTTTACACAAATGTCATCTTATCACAGAGAGCTTTCCACCACTGAAAATCACAACCCACATTTGGAAGCTCTCTAACTCTTTCCTACTTAATTTTGTTTTGAGATGGAGTCTTGCTCTGTCATCCAGGCTGGAGTGAAGTGGCGTGATCTTAGCTCACTGCAACCTCCACCTCCCGGGTTCAAGCAACTCTCCTGCCTCAGCCTCCCGAGGAACTGGGATTACAGGTGTGCACCATCACGCCCAACTAATTTTTTGTATTTTCAGTAGAGATAAGGTTTCACCATGTTGGTCAGGCTGGTCTTGAACTCCTGATTTCAAGTGATCCACCTGCCTCTGCCTCCTAAGGTGCTGGGATTACAGGTGTGAGCCACCATACTGGGCCCCTACTTAATTTTTACCTTTATTATAATACATGTTTTATGGGTTTTAGTTTATGGCCCACTCTCCTGAAATAGAATATAAGCTTCATGAAGGAAAGGGTCTGTTCGTTTGGTTCCTTTCAATCTCCCCAGCTCTTGGAAGTTTCCGGCATATAATATAATCAATACATACTTATTGAATAAATAAAGGAAGAGAGCAATATCTTTAATTTCTTAATCACTACTTGCTTTGTCAGTAATAAGGGTTGTTTTTTCCCATTCCCTCTCCTCTCTGAGTTGCTATAAATTGTTCTTTCTTCTGTGTTATAATAGTGGGTGAGAGCTAAAGTCTGGTAATACACTACTTTTCCTAAAATGTAGTAGTTCAGAGTTAAAGAGAATTTTGTTGTATATGTTCATGAAACAAAATTTCCTCCTAAAGAGTGGGAACTGACTCACTAGTTCCTCATTCTCTTATTGATTCAACAAATATCAGGCAGGCATAGTGCATAGGTAACTACCCTGTTCTCACCCAGTTTATGTGTTTCTCGCAGAAACCACCACCTATGTTCCACGTATACACACAAACACACACAAACCTAGTAAAAACAGCTAGATGGCATGTGTTTCCAAAAACAAAATGAATTTTCTAAATGAAGCCACCTAATTAAGCTAACCGGGCTATAGTTGTGAATATCTTTAAGAAAATTACTGCTTTAAGAAATAACCGGATAGACTGTATCTTTTTTCCCAATCATCCACCTCCTCTGCTTCAAAAGAGTATTAAGAGAACCGCCTCCTTGCTATGTCTATCTGCAGAGGTGGAGAAGCAGCCTATTAGTGGACTGGATTTTCCCAGTCTATTGCCAGGCATGGCAGCATCCATAGGTGAGTTTTTAAGATACTTGAGAGGTTCAGTTCAGTCTCTGTGTTCTGGTACTCTGCCGTGAAGACAGAATGGGCCAGATGGGAGCTGCTCCCTCAGCCTGTGCCCGAATGAAAAGGCATGTGGAACTAAGTCAGGCTTAGCCAAGATAGAGCTAACCTATAGACAACCCACAGCCTCATGGACAACAAATATGTTCCCTCTGTATGAACCTCCACCTTCCTCAGCAACCTATTCACTTATCTTCTATGACTTTTGCTTCTGTTTACAGGGATTTGCCCTAAGTCCACTAGAAAGTAGGTTTCACAAGGGCAGGCAACTTTTCTGTCCTGTTCTCTACTGGCTCTGCAGCTTGTCGTACCATGCCCAGCGCAGGATAGGCATTCAGTAAACATATGAGGAATGAAAATTATTATGAGCTAGAACCTAGATTTTACCATAATGTAAAAACTGTAAACACACAAATCTATTTAAGGTAAACGTCAAGAAACAAAGTATTCTCAAGTGATTTAAATTGCAAGTATTTACATTTAAAATTACTTTCATGTGTTCTTGAGGAAGAGAGAGAGTCTTAGAAATATCTCATGGGATTGGACCCTTGCACACTGAAACACACTGGAAGAGAACAACAGAGAAAAGGCCAGGTGAAAAGAAGATGGCAGGGATGTGTCTTATTTTTACACTTTATCCTAGAACTGTAAAAGCAATTCCACCTGGAAAAATCTTGGCATTTCACAGCTGCTGCATCAAGAAGAAAAAAATTGTAGGGAGCACATAGAAAATAATAATAAAATGAGATATTGCGTGGCCAAAAAAAAAAAAAGACATTATAAAAACAAAACATTTTTCTGGATTTTCTTAGAAATACACAAAGATGGAGAAATAAAAATATAATCAAGCAACTGTGACACAATTAACTTGTTTACTTTCTGCAACAGCTTAAGTATTTCCAAGGCAATCTTGTTTAAACTTTTTTTTTAAGCAAACTATTTAACACACATTTGAGATGAGCACAGTCTGACTGCTACTCAAAATAGAGATCACAAGTATTTGATTAAGTGAGATTGATGAAATTTTTATCATATTAAAACCTTAAAATGTCTAGAAGGTTATGACTATAGGCTAGGTGCGGTGGCTCACACCTGTAATCCCAGCACTTTGGGAGGCTGAGGTGGGCGGATCACTTGAGGTCAGGAGTTTGAGACTAACCTGGCCAACATGGTGAAACCCCATCTCTACTAAAAAAATCCCAAAATTTGCTGGGTGTGGTGGAGAGCGCCTGTAATCCCACCTACTCAGGAGACTGAGGCAGGAGAATCGTTTGAACCCAGGAGGCAGAGGTTGCAGTGAGTGAGATTGTGCCACTGCACTCCAGCCTGGGTGACAGAGCCAGACTCTGTCTCCAAAAAAAAAAAGTTATGGCTATAAAAGAAAGTCTTAATTCTGATTAAATATTAACACTATGTCAACAAACTTACAAATTTGGAAGTCTATATTCCTCACAATTCTTTAATTTTATTGTGCCATTTGGTGACAAAATAAAGATTAAAATGAAATCAGTTTCTATTAACAATTACACAGAAATAAAAGGAACAGTGCTCCAAGTCAACACAGATCCAGGGATATTACTCATATACTACATTGCAGGCATTGCTTAAGCTCCAAGAAAGGCATCATACATACAACCCTTTCACCAGAAAACACTTACAAGCAGCCTCTTGTCTAAGTTGGCTTTTCTCAAAGACGAGGTAACAGAGTTGGCATCTTTTTCTGCCATCCATGCTTTGAAAAGCTTGACAGCAAATGAGGCCGCAATGCCTGTTCAAAAACAAAAGAGAATTTCATTCCTTTTATGAGCAAAACCAATTGTGATGGTGTGCAAAGCACCCAGGTTTCCTGAAGTGGGTAAATAACTAAAAGACTAAATTTGGTACAAAGGAAAAGTCAATAGACCTCTAGGCAAATTCTCCTCTTCTCGTTACTCAAAATAGAACATTTTCAGGAAAAGGAAAATAAATTAAAATATTTTTCAAATTTGGACTCTTTGAATCCAACCTGGTCTAACTGTAAGTTATTTTACCTTGGTCAAAAACATATTTAACACCCAGTATCTTCGGTGTTATTGCCTTTATTTCACCCTCTGGTTCATATGTATTTCATGTTTATAACAGTGATCTTGAGGCACAAGAAAATTAGGAGACACAAAACTGTAATGTCACCTTTATCAAGTAATTTGCTAATAAAGGATGCCAGTACAAGAACACTGATAGTGATAGATATAATAAGTACTGCTACGAATAGATGAACACACATCATTTACCTTAGTTTTACTTTTTATAAAAAGCATTTTATTTATTTATTTATTCCTATTTTTATTTTTTGGGGGATGGAGTCTCACTCTGTTGCCCAGGCTGGAGTGCAGTGGCACGAGCTCAGCTCACTGCAATCTTCACCTCCTGGGGTCAAGTGATTCTCCTGCCTCAGCCTCCCAAGTAGCTGGGATTACAGGCATGCACCACCAAACTCAGCTAATTACTGTATTTTTAGTAGAGACAGGGTTTTGCCATGTTGGGCAGGCTAGTCCTGAACCCTTGACCTCAGGTGATCCACCTGTGCTGGCCTCCCAAATTGCTGGGATTACAGGAATGAGGCATTGCGCCCAGCCATAAAAAGCATTTTAAAATATTCTTGAGTTAAGCTATAAAAATATCAAGGCTGTTTCAAGTTAAACTTTTCTGGATTTAAAAAAAATCGTTATTAAGCTAGTTATGTTAAATCAGGAAACCATTCAATCACATGTCCACATTTACATTACCACTTATTTCCAAATAGAAATAATCAGATAATAAGAAGACAGTTCTATGAACACTTCAAATTTCTAAATTTATGTTGTGGTTATTTAATGAAGAGTTAAGATGTAGTTGAAACATTTAACTGAGTTTTCTAAACTGAAGGTTCTACTATTGTTATGAGCTAATGATAATGTGGCCTAAGCAGCCTCTATTCTCTTTACCTCTTTCCTAAAAGAGGTCCCATTTTATCCAGTCCAGGTGACTACTCATTAGCCTAAGTTCTGGTACCACCTCTTTCTGATGATTAATTTAGTGACCTCGCTCAAGCTCATCTGCCCAAGGCACCCCCCTGGCAATTGCTACTGGACCTGTACTGGTCATGCAGTCTGTGTCAGCCAATCAGCTGAAGGAAAGATAAATTATCCTGTGTTCAGGAGAAGTGTTCTTTCACTGAACCAGAACCAGGAAGAATATGCCATAACTGTATCAGCAGACATTTATAACAAGAGGGGGCAGCATCCTTGGGATGAACAGGAGAAAAATACTTAAGTTCTGAACGATATTGCTGTTCAGCCTGAAGTCTGTCCTAATTTTCCATTTATTGTTACATAAGAAATACACGTCCTTATATACCAATTTGACCCAGGTCTTCCAGTAACTGGAAAGTCAAAGCATTTAATTCGTCTATCATTCATACAGACACCAACTAAACCTGATTTTCTTCCCTTGAATAAGCAGAGAAACTAATTTAAAAAAAAAAAATGGCCATGACAACAAACCATGCATTACATCTTAACTGAAAGTTCATGTTAAACAACTTGTTAAGATGAATTTTTAGCATTATCATTAGCTCATACAACCAATATAAAATTTAATATTAATACTAGGCTGTAATCTGTATTGTAAGTAAAGAAAAACTATGCTTGAAACTAGGAGCCTAAAATTGAGATTTAACTTTCTTTATAGTTACTCCTCTACTGAGTAGGATAATCCCATCTCCCTTGGTCATGTATTGGATGAGTTGGGGAAAATGATTAATTTCTTAACTGTTTTCGTTATTTCTTTTTTTTTTTTTTTTTTTAATCTTAGATAGTCTTTCTCTGTTGCCCAGGCTGTAGTAAGATGATGTGATCATAGCTCACCGTAGCCTCAAACTCCTGGGCTCAAGTAATCCTCTTGCCTTAGTCTCCTGAGCAGCTAGGATTGCACGGTGTGCCAACACACCTGGCTAGTTTTTAATTTTTTTTTTTTTTGTAGAGAAGAGTCTTGCTATGTTTCCCAAACTGGTCTCAAACTCCTGGCCTCAAGTAATTTTCTTACCTCAGCTTCCCAAAGTGTTAGGATTTCAGGCATGAGTTACCATACCCAGCCATTTTCTCAATGCTTTTCCAATTAGGAAGCAAGAGTTTAAACCTCTAGTTTGTAAAAGATGGCAGAGTTTAAGGAAAAGCCATATAACAGAGGCACTATACTACTTCCATAGCAAAGTTATTTTTCTCCTCACCATCCCCCAAACATTTCACTATAATAATTTCCAGACATACAGAAAAGCTGAACAAACTGAACAATGACCACTCACATGCCCACCATCTAGTTTCTATAACTAATATTTTGCCGTATTTGCTTTATCACGTATCTATTCATCTAATAATGTAATATTTGGATATATTACAAAGGAAGTTACAGACATCATTTAGATTTTTAAAATAACTAGAAAGGCAATAATTTTCTGTTATGTTGGCTAGGATAATTTAAAATAATTAATGGTTAACATTTATATACTATGTTGATTTTCTGTGTGCAAAATGGCTAACAGCAAAAATAAGATGTGTGTTGTACTGTGAATTTTCTTCAGGGAAATACTTTAAAATGTCATAATACTAATAACATCCAACAATTACAGAGTCTGAATTGTCATAAATCTGAGTGATTTTAAGCTAAAAACTAGAGTCTTTGAATAAGACCGATTGACTCTCAATTTACTATTCTTTTCTTAGCTACAAGAAAACTATAACCCCTTTCACTATAGGCATGAATGAGGCTAGGACTTCATATACGTAGGAGGAAAACTTTTTAAGTTCTCAGAAGAAACAGATGTTCGCACAAAAGCTCTTTTAATTTGTTTTTAAGGAAAAATAACTGTTTTGTGTTGCATTGTAATTTGACTATCATTATCCTCCTACAAGTAAACAGCCCACTTTTGTTTTATTCTATAACCAAATCATGGTATGCATGCCTATCCAACTCTTAATGCCTTAAAATTAAAACAAGACTCCTTCTATTGCAGCAGACTTAAAACTGTTTTCTAAAATTGAGACAATGAATATCTTAAAAAGTGCAATCAAAATGAGTATCTGAGCATCAGTTTCTCTAGACCTTGAGAGGGGAACAGTTTTTGTTCTTACAATAGGGGTGAGAGTTAAAGGCTGCCATTTTGTATTGAAGGGCAAAAAGGTCACCAAATCGATTTCAGGGTATTTGACCTAGGCATCAAGTCTTCCATGAGATTTTAATTGGCTATTAGTCTTTCTTAATATGTCTTTATACAGGTGTGCATATTTTTTTCCTTCAAATGTCCTACAATTAACATGTCCACTCCTTTTATTATTTGAAAGGCAATATACACACATACACAGATATTCTCTTATGTGAAGAATGAGTAGTAGAGGACACCAAAAGGAGCAACTGGCATTTTTATAACTATCTGTGGCTTTTTTTTTCCCTTTGTTGTCTGACAGGCGAGAAAACAGGAGCCTCATTACCTTCTTTGACTAAGCTGTCGGTGAAGAGACTGGTGAGGATGGTGGCGGGCAGGGTGCCGTTGCCCAGCAGAATCCCTGACAGCATCGCCAACTTTGTCTGCTCTGTTTCGGAAAAGGCTTTAAGGAAGAGGAGAAGCTGTGGGTCAAAAAAAAAAAAAAAAAAAAAAAAAAGAAAAAAAAAAGGAACCATGTCTATGAAGCAAAGGACTGAAGTGGGAAGATAAACAGTGTGAACATCCATGGCTACGTGGCACACACACAGAAGGTCATATGTAAAGCATAGTAATTCATTTCATGATAAATTGGATGCCGTGGAAAGTGACTTGAGCAGGCAGGTTCCTTTCTTCTCAGTTCATTTACTCACAGCTGTAGATAACATTCACGGAAAGGAAAAGAGATATTTGGATGATATGTAAACAGATGGATTTATGTTTGACTATGTGCATGCAAAAGGGTTAAGTATACACGATGGACATGTTTTCTGAAATGTATTGTTTTTCAAGTTTTTCCACTTCTTTGGGTGACTACCTCTTCCCTTGCTACATATGCCCATTTTCTCTGAATAGAATTTTTACGGCAAAAACAGAAACAAATAAAAAGCCCCACAAAAACAAAAAACCAGGAAAGAGTCGAAGTTAAGCTTTTGACATTTAATATATACTTTTCTGAGCTCACAGAATACAACAGTCTTCAAAACAAGACTGTTCAGGGAGAAAGGGGTTTTCTAGGTTCTTGATGTTTTTTGGGTACACTTTTAGATTCTCTTGTCCCCGAGGCAGGGAACTGAAAAAGTAGCAACCCTAGAAAAATATGAATGTAAGCTCAAAGCAAACAAAACAAAAAACCCACTTCCCATATTATATTTTCCTATAGTAGTCAGCCCTGTGGGATGTCCTTCTCTCTCCTAACTCTCCTCTGCTTTGTGCTTTGACTACATTCTACTGTTACTTTCTCCATTTCACCAGTTATTAGGCTTTGCCATGGAAATTCCTCAGGGTCCACTATTACTACAGGAGCCTTGCTGATTTTCCATTATTTTGTGCCAATGCAAAATTCACTGGCATTGATAGAGACTTAAGTGTCTCCATCCTGATGACGTGATTATTCCACTAGCTGCATAGGGGGTAAGAAAATATTAACTTACTATTCCCCAATAATTTAAGGATTATTACATTATAGACTATTTACATTATGTGAAAGTGGCAGAACTGGAACCAAACCAGTCCATTCGCCTCTCAATGTATACCTATTAAATTCAACAAATTAAAAAGAAGTTAACATCTAAGTAAGTGCCAGGGAGTGAGGGAATGAGGGTTTCAAAGGCTTAAGCTCCAAGGAGCATCAAGAATGGGGAAGAATGAAAGAACTAACATAAGTATAGACAGTTCATGTCAACTTGTCCTTTTTCTCCATTATAAAAATAACATTTAAATGAGAATAATAAAAAATAATATTTTTTATTATTATTTTAAATAATATTTATTATTATTTAAAAAATAATAAAATAAAATTTTAACACCACTTCTTCAAGTTCACGCATATGACCAGATTCATTTAAAATATACTTAATCACATAGAAATGGCACAAAAATTAGGTCATCATAAAAATAATAACCACATTGCTCAATTATATTAATCAACATTAAAACATAATTACATGTATACACACATACTGTTTTTCACTGCATTACATGCTAATGATAGCTAAAACTTGTGGAGTGGGCCAGACAACTCTTCTGATCACTTTATGTGTATTAATAAGTACAACAGGCTCCATCTCCAATTACAGAAAAGAATACTAAGGTACAAAGATATTAAGTAATTTGCCTGCCCCAGGTCAAACTGCTACCAAATGGTTGCTTTGCACCTCGCATTTCCATTTAATTTGTCATGGGCATTTTCCCTTATTAATACATGTAGTTATGCCTACATGTATAAAAGACTGCATAGTATTCCACTGTATAGATTGTAAATTAATTAACCAGTCTTCATCTCCTACCAATGAACATTTAGGCTATTTTTCAATACTGTGGTGACATCTTTATACATATAGCTTTATATATCCATGCTAATGGATTCTTATAAATCCATGAAGGCCGGGGCATGGGTTATATAAGAAACATTTCTTTTAATGACTATTGTCAACTTGCTCTTCAATATTATACATGGAACTACTTTAAACTGGGTGGGGTGGGGGGCAGTTAGTGTGGGGAGGAGTGGGGAGAGTAAGTAAGTAGGGAAGAAGTAAGTATATGTTATGGTTACTTTTTTCACTTGGTGTTTTACTTTTAGATAGATATCTAAAACTGGAAGCAATGACAAAGTAATGAACAAATCTGAAACAGGTAAAGGTAGTGGGTGCTATATATAAATACAGGAGTTACAAACTGGAAGAGGGAATGTGCAATTACTCTAAAGAGGACATCTTTAAGGAGATGCTACTGTTGATTTGACTAGAGACCAATTACTACACTGAGCTCCTTATATGTTATTTCATATATTCCCACAGCAACCATAAGGTATATCCTCTTACTACAGCTATTTCACTGATGAGAAAGACTACTGAGATTTACACCCATACACTCTATCTCCAAAGAGGTGCTTCCATTCCCTTTGCTAAACTGCATAGAATTAAAGAATTTTGCTGAACATTAGCTGCTGTGCTATGTTCTTTCATAGGCTTTAACTACTTAAACCACTTTATCTTGATTCTAGTTTTCATTTTAACCTCTGCATGGTCAGAGATTATACCCCATAAAACTATTCTTACTGAACAAAGCACACTGTCTTACATTAAATATTAATGGAAAAAGTCCAGAATAATCACATATTTCTTCCTATAGCTATTAGCTAATGATCTTTCATACTCATTTATTTACCAAACATTTATTAAAAACTCACTACATGTTACCATGTATATGGCACTTTTGGAATATCATTGTGCATGTAAAATTTTATTTTATTTTATTATTATTTTTTCTGAGATGGAGTCTTGCTCTGTCGCCCAGGCTGGAGTACAGTGGAGCAATCTTGGCTCACTGAAGCCTCTGCTGCCTGGGTTCAAGCGATTCTCCTGCCTCAGCCTCCCGATTAGCTGGGATTATAGGCCACCATGCCTGGGTAATTTTTGTGTTTTTAGTAGAGACGGGATTTCAGCATCTTGGTCAGGCTGGTCTTGAACTCCTGACCTTGTGATCCACCCATCTCGGCCTCCTAAAATGTTGGGATTACAGATGTGAGCCACCACACCCGGCCACTTATAAAATTTTTATACACCTCCATTTCATTACTATAAAACAGATAGGCATTATATTTGAATTTTTACCTTTTTCATTTCATCTTCAAATGCCTTCTCCAAATACTTATATCTCCTGATGAGTTTATTGAAGACCTAAACATAAAACAGAACCATTAAATATTAGGTCAACCAAAAAGACACAGAAGGAGGGTATAGAAACTCACCGTAACAACACTATAGATCTACAATAAAAAAAGTGTATAGTTAAACAGGCTCACACTGTAATATAAAAACTATAAGCATTTCAAAGATGCTACCATGACCTAGGGGAACAAATACGATCAAAATGTACATGTAAGATAAAACAAATTCATTCATTATAAAGATATAACCACTCAGATAATGATGTGATGGGGAGGAGAGCAAAGTGCAGGACAGATTCTACTCTAGGTAAACAACAAACATGTTTCTAGCAGATGAGCAAAAAATGTTATAATTTACTGGCAATAAAGGATGACTGGCCCCTATGGTTGTGCTAGAACTGTGAAGCAGAGTTTGCCACTGTATTAGGATCTAGACAGTCTTAAGTGGAATGATGTTTTTAAATGGGGATTTTGTAAATATTGGTTATTTTAATAACTGTGGAAATGATTTCTTAATCTAGTTCCTTTTTCTCCTACACACAGGCTATACTCCTACTTACAACTCTTGGTGTATTCGTTTCCTAATGTAATCAAGATGGAGTCCAAGAGTAAAAATAATAATTGCCCTTTATGGGGAAAGAATGACTCAGGCAGGGAATTAACACACGATAAGCAAAAGAAATAAATTACATTAAAATCCCATAAATTTTATTTCCAATTTACACTAATACTCACATATTCTTTAATATGTATACAAGAAAAACGAATTCTCCTAATCCAAGAATAAATTCCCATGAGAGGTTAACAAAAAAAAAAAAAAAGAAAAAGCATTATATTATTGTAGTTCTTTTTGTTTTGTTTTGAGATGGAGTCTCACTCTGTCATCCAGGTTGAGCAGTGGCAAGATCTCGGCTCACTGTAACCTCTGTCTTCTGGGTTCAAGTGATTCTCCTGCCTCAGCCTCCCAAGTAGCTGGGATTACAGGCACCCACCAGCACACTCAGCTAATTTTTGTATTTTTTAGTAGAGATGGGTTTTCACCATGTTGGCCAGGCTGGTCACAAACTCCTGACTTCAAGTGATCCACCCACCATGGCCAAAGTGCTGGGATTATAGACTCAAGCCACTCTGCTAGGCCTATTTTTGTAGTTTTAATGCCCATTATTTTCATATGTTTAAAGGCTTTTTCTAAAATTCCTATTTAAAAAGTGGGTGGGCTGTAGAGCTTCTATAGAGTTTTCCTCAATCCTCTTCAAATGCTTCCCTTCTGACTCAAGGGCAATCTCTCAAATAGGCTCTACCTGAGCATAGTTTCGGATGGTTTCATGATCTTCATTTGCTGAAAACACACAGTGGTTGGTCATCTTGGTCTTGTCACCATCATCTATGCGTGTTCCTCCAGGGGCTGAAAAGAGAAAGGTAATTATAGTTAGGATAATACTGAAATTGAGAACAGCATTTGCAGAACAGATCGATTCTGGCAAATGAAAGAAAATAATGAAAGTAGATGTAAAATCTAAGAGTCACATAAAATGTCAAAGAATGACACACATAGATGTACACATGTTGCTGTATATTTTTTCCTTTTCTTTGAGACGGAGTCTTGCTCTGTCATCCAGGCTGGAGTGCAGTGGCACAATCTTGGCTCACTGCAACCTCCACCTGCCGGGTTCAAGCAATTCTCCTGCCTCAGCCTCCTGAGTAGCTGGGATTACAGGCATGCACCACCATGCCCAACTAATTTTTATAGTATTAGTAGAGACAGGATTTCACCATGTTGGTCAGGCTAGTTTCGAACTCCTGACCTTGTGATCCACCCACCTCAGCCTCCCAAAGCGCTGGGATTACAGGCTTAAGCCACTGTACTTGGCCTTGTATACTTCATGTTTCCAATATAATATAAATTAGTTGTTTCATTTCATGCTCCCACCATAGTGTACTTCATTTTAGTTCCACATCCTCAACTTCACTACATTCTATCACTATAAGTCTGGTTCTTTCCAAAGTATATTCTTAATCATGGAAGCAAAGAACAACCTTTATTCAGTAAATTTAATTTCATTATTCTCAATGCAACTCCAGATACTTCCCACTCCAGGACATAGTTGTTTCTTCAGGCTTGCTAACATTTTGCAAGTATTTTGTGGATACTCTACCTAGATATCACCAACTACAGAACTGACCAGACCTGACTCACAGATCTTTTTGCTTTCTACTTGAGTAGCTATTACAATTGCTTCCTCCTTCGCTAACCCAGTTATCCATGACTGGTTGAATAGCATGGACTCTGATGCTCGCTATTTGAATTTAATCACCCAGCAGCTATGTTGGCTAGAAGAAATTATTTTATTCTCTCTCATTTTTTTTTTCCCGATGGACTCAATAGATTAGATGCCTTTTTCTTCAATTAACTTTCCATATTCAAAGGGTCCTCCTATAAGTTTCAATGGTAGCCATTAGAAGCATTAGTTGATTAGAAGAGCAGAATGAGAACATTAGGAATTTCTGTTTTCTAATTTAGGTAGAAGGTTTCTAATTTCTGTTTGTAATTAAGGTAGAAGGTTTGAGCAGTTAGCTTAATATCTTTCATATACACAACAAATGTTTGTAGTGTATATACTTACACCAGCTACTGTGCTAGGCACCGAGGATACAATAATGGTCAAAGCTGAAAAGACAAACACTCTCTACTCATTAGCCACTCCCTTTATTTGTTTGTGTATTAGTGTATAATCACCTTGATTTAACTTGTGATTTCAGATCTCTGGATTAAAAGGGCCACCCATAGTCACCTTTTTTAGCAGACATAGGCAAATGAGAATTCAATTGAGTTATACTTTCCTTAGCTTATCATCCCCTCTATGGGCTTCAGACTTCAGCATATGGTTTAGTAAGTAAATTAGTTTTTGGAGAAGTCAGCCCCTTTAGGAGTCTATTTTCACTCAATTAATTTATGCATGAGATTTAATTAGCCCTTTTAAATGAATATAACCATCTGGAACTGTTGCGGGAAGACAGGGAACCCAAATGGAGGGACTGGCTGAAGCCACGGCAGAAGAACATAAATTGTGAAGATTTCATGGACATTTGTTAGTTCCCCAAATTAATATTTTTAAAATTTCTTACGCCTGTCTTTACTGCAGTCTCTGAACATAAATTGTGAAGATTTCATGGAAATTTATCACTTCCCCAATCAATACTCTTATAATTTCCCATGCCTGTCTTTATTTTAATCTCTTAATCCCGTCATCTTCGTAAACTGAGGATGTATGTCGCCTCAGGACCCTGTGATGATTGCGTTATCTGCACAAATTGTTTGTGAAGCATGTGTGTTTGAACAATATGAAATCTGGGCACCTTGAAAAGAACAGGACAACAGTGATTTTCAGGAAACAAGAGAGATAACCATAAAGTCAGACTGCCTGCAGGGCCGGGCAGAACAGAGTCATATTTCTCTTCTTTCAGAAAGCGAATAGGAGAAATATTGCTGAATTCTTTTCTCAGCAAGGAGAAAAGGAATAACCCTGGGAAAATGAATGCATTCCCAGGGGAAGGTCTCTAAAATGGCCGCTCTGGGAGTGTCTGTCTTATGCAGTTGTAGATAAGGGATGAAATAAGCCCTGGTCTCCTGCAGTGCCACCAGGCTTGTTAGGATTGGGAAATTCCAGCCTGGCGAAATTCTAGTCAGACTGGTTGTCTGCTCTCGAACCCTGTTTCCTGTTAAGATGTTTATCAATGACAATGTGTGCCCAGCAGGACATGGGCCTTCATCAGTAATTCTAAGTTCGCCCTGGCCTTGTGATCTTGCTCTGTCCCCATTTGCCTTGTGATATTTTATTGCCTTTGAAGCATGTGATCTCTGTGATCCACACCCTATTTGTACACTCCCTCCCCTTTGAAAATCGCTAATAAAAACTTGCTGGTTTTGCAGCTCAGGCCAACATGTGATGTCACTCCCAGAGACTCAGCTGTAAAATTTCTTTCTTTTGTACTCTTTCTCTTTATTTCTCAGACCAGCCAACACTTAGGGAAAATAGAAAAGAACCTACGTTGAAATATTGGGGGCTGGTTCCCCTGATATGGAACAAACTTAGATAATAATCTTCTAAAACCTCTGGGCTAATTATTGCTATTGCTTTTGACAGAAATTACAAAACTGAAGTTTGATATTGAAACTACAGACTTTTGAGAGGTATGTTTTTAAAGTTACATTGTTTAATGAAATAAAACACTTATTATATATTAATAATATTGCTACAGCTTGCATTAAAATTTTTGCTGATATTAGGACCAAGTATTGTTTGCCATTTCTAATGTTTTTGGATTGCCTGCTGTTTTTCTCAAGGTAGAAGTAAACTTAATATATTTATTGTATTTACTATACACAAGGTAATATTGAAAGACCAAGATAGCTGCTGTTTTAAGAACAATGGGGCTGGGCGTGGTGGCCCATGCTTATAATCTCAGCACTTTGGGACAGATCACCTGAGGTCAGGAGTTTGAGACCAGCCTAGTCAACATGGTGGAAACCCCGTCTCTACTAAAAATACAAAATTAGCTGGACATGCTGACACATGCCTGTAATCCCTGCTACTCAAGAGAATTGCCTGATCCCAGGAGGCAGAAGTTGCAGTGAGCCAACTCTCCAGCCTGGACAACATCAGAAAAAACAAAAACAAAAACAAAAGAACAATGGAAGAAGATAAATTGTGAGTGTCAAGAAAATTTCTACATAATAATTAAACAAAGTATTTATATAAGAAGAATGCACCTAGCAGGCTTCAGTCCTTATGTTACGTGTCCGGACTTAGCAGACATCTGGTGTTGTACAGCTTATGCTAAGCAAGTCATACCAAACATTTGGCCCTATGTTCTTCTTGAATGTATAGACATGGAGTGAAGAAGTGAAATCTGGGCTGCACTAACCAATGGAAATTGCTTAAAATCCTTCACCAAACCTTTCACTTAGGCATTGATAGCACCCATCAGATGGCCAAATTATTATTTACTGGACCAGGCCTTTTCAAAACTATCAAGCAGATAGTCAGAGCCTGTGAAGTGTACCAAAGAAATAATTCTCTGCACTGCGGTCCATACATTTCAATCCCTGTATCTTTAACCTCCTTGTTAATTCTGTCTCTTCCAGAATCGAAGCTGTAAAACTACAAATGGTTCTTAAATACAAATGGAGCCCCAGATGCAGTCCATGACTAAGATCTACCAAGAATCCCTGGACCGGCCTGCTAGCTCATGTTCTGATGTTAATGACATAGAAGGCACCCCTCCCAAGGAAATCTCAACTGCACAACACCTACTATACCCCAGTTCAGCAGGAAGTAGTTAGAGCAGTTGTCGGCCAACCTCCCCAATAGCACTTGGGTTTTCCTGTTGAGAGTGGGGACTGAGAGACAGGACTAGCTGGATTTCCTAGGCCGACTAAGAATCCCTAAGCCTAGCTGGGAAGGTGACCGCATCTACCTTTAAACACGGGGCTTGCAATTTAGCTCACACCCGACCAATCAGGTAGTAGAGAGCTCAGTAAAATGCTAATTAGGCAAAAACAGGAGGTAAAGAAATAGCCAATCATCTATCGCCTGAGAGCACAGTAGAAGGGACAATGATTGGGATATAAACCCAGGCATTCGAGCCAGCAACGGCTACCCTCTTTGGGTCCCCTCCCTTTGTATGAGAGCTCTGTTTTCACTCTATTAAATCTTGTAACTGCAAAAAAAAAAAAAAAAAAAAGAAAGAAAGAAATCTGGGCTGCAGATATAAATCTGCTGATCATGGTAAATGAAATTTTAAGAAACTCAATACAAAGTACACAGATAATTTTATATGGGGAGATGGTTAACGACGGAAGCCAGGAGTAATGTAAGAAGTGGCATCCAGAGAGGTAGGAGGAGGTCTAAGTGGTCTCGTGTAAGGGAAGAAAATAAAAGAGTTCAAGAATGACAAAAGGTCCAACAGTGCTGCCTGGAGGTCACTCAGTCTGAAAAGGGTCCATATAAGCGACTACTACAATCACGTGACTTTGACAAGAACCAAAACTCGCTGAAAATCACTCTGATAAAAATATATCATAATTAATGAAATACTAAAAGTCAATAATATGTTAGGAAATATTCAACTCCACTATTAAAGTTTTAAAATGAAAATACTTATCACTTACCTAATTTCAGATATCTAGAAAACTGATGAAATTAGGTAGCTAACATTGTTAAAGGTGTATGTAAATAGGAACTCATAATTTTTGATAAAATATTAAACATAATGTTCCTTTTGAAGACTTTTTCTCTCTCAGCTAGGTAAATGGAGATAGATATAGATAAAAATGTCTCCATCTTTTATTTAATCCATTAATCCCTTGCTAAGTAGATAAAGATGTAATCAGGTAAAAGCACAAAGATAGGTGCATACAGACACTCATAACTGTTGTTTATAATAGCAACAACTGCAAACAGCCTAAATATTCTTTTTTTTTCTTTTCCCCAGAATTTCACTCTTGTCGCCTAGGCTGGAATGCAATGGCGCAATCTAGGCTCACTGCAGCCTCCGACTCCCAGGTTCAAGGAATTCTCCTGCCTCAGCCTCCTGAGTAGTTGGGATTATAGGCACCCACCACCATGTCCAGCTAATTTTGTATTTTTAGTAGAGACAGGGCTTCTCCACATTGGTCAGGCTAGTCTTGAACTCCAGAACTCAGGTGATCTGCCCACCTCAGCCTCCCAAAGTGCTGGAATTACAAGCGTGAGCCACCACCCCCGGCCTCTAAATATTCTTTAACATCCGTTTGGCTTTAATTCTTTTTAGAATCATCCAGTATAACACTCAAGGGTGTGCAAGGCAGCAACATATTGCTGAATAAATACAAATCAGCATGCATAATATCATATTTGCATAATATCATCCATTCTCCAAAGTTTATGAGGTAAAGATAGTTCCTTTTTTTTTTTTTTGAGACAGGGTCTCGCTCTGTCACCCAGGTTGGAGTGCAGTGGCTCGATCTCAGCTCACTGCAACCTCTGCCTCCTGGGTTCAAGTGATTCTCCTGCCTCAGCCTCTCTAGTAGCTGGGATTGTTATAGGCAGCCGCCACCACGTTCTGTCAATTTTTGTATTTTTTTTTATAGAGACAGGGTTTCACCATGTTGGCCAAGCTGGTCTCGAACTCCTGACCTCAGGTGATCCACCCGCCTCAGCCTCCCAAAGTGTTGGTATTACAGGCGTGAGCCACCATGCCCGGCTGCTAAAGAGATTTCTAGAAGGGAAATAACCAAAATGTTAACAATGATTATTTTCGGGTAATAGGATTTGAGTTCAATATAGGTAGCTGTTATACTTGAATTATCTACAGTCATAATGTAAGCTCTTCATAACAATAAGAACAACAAAACTAATTCATTATGTGGTGAAAACTAGCAATGCAGAATGACAGAAGGCCTAGTAGTCAATTGGGCCATGTACCAAACAGATTGCTTGAAATAAGAGCTCAGAGAAAAAGGAATTTATGGGCAGTTCCACCTCAAGACGGAGGAATGTATGCACATTCTTTTTCAAAGCCAAGGTAGGCTGGCTTAAGCAGTGTTTTCTCAAGGAAAGACAATGATGGCACTTTGGGCAAGGCAATCTTTCATGATGTTGCATGTTCTTTGCATAGCAGAGTAGACACATACCTGCCCTCCCCTCTCAAGTCTTTTTAACAACTGAAACACTTGCACACATTTGCAAACTAAAAATTCCTGGCCTAGGAAATTCGACCATCTCTAGTGATTTACAGCTACCACAGGAACTAACTATAAGAACTCAGATCTAAAAATGACTATGAGAGGAAAAATGGGTGGTTGTTATACTTAATAAATATTAGAATCATCTACTTAATAAATAGTATTCTGAAGCCTTCTTTCCTGATGCCTCTGTTCTAAAAGGTATAGCTTTTATTTTGTTTTTACCTACCTTTAACAATTTCTAATCTTCTATCTTTAATTTTTCTACCTATACTTACAATTTAAATGATTTTTCAAAAACCAGGTTTAAACTATATTTCTTGTAAGTTTTATTTATGGATGAAATGTCATTAATTAAACCTTGGAAATTTATACACTAAGTTACAGTCTTTTGCAGAAATTACCCCTTTTATGGCCCCTCCAAAAACACTGACAGATTATGGACACATGAGAAAGGTGGCTTTTAGGAAAAGCAAAGCGGCCGACTTCATTGTAACGTTAACCAAAGTCCTCCGTCCTATGCCTCTATTAACCAATCATTACTTCACATCCGCATTAATACCATTCCAAATCATAAATCAGGTAAAAATTATAGGCTTCCATTTGTATTTCTATCCACTCTAATAAACATAAACTTATAAAGACTCTATCTTATAAGGAAATACCTCAATAGAATTAAAAATACATAAATATACTACAAGAAGCAATAATGCATGGTTTACCAAGCATACTGCCAGCCACCAGGATATCGAAGAGTGTGTCTGCATAGCGACGATAATCTAATCTTGAGCCTGTAGAGTCCAGAAATTTGGCTACAGCTTCAAGGTCATCACCAGCCTCATTAAGCCCCTGGACAAGTGTATCCCTGAAGACTGTGGGTTCGAATTTCTCTTTTTCATCTAAAATAAAACAATTCAAAATAACAGTCAAATAAATAAATAAATACTGAGAGTATAACAATCAAAACTTAAATTCTATTTTATCTAAGATAGGAAAAAACATCCACAGAGCATCGCCAAAGAATGTAGGAGAATATACAAATATAAACAAACAAATAAAGATGGTGGAGGGGAATAAGAAGGGATGTTTCTTTTAAAATAAGTTACTGCAGGCCAAGTGTGCTAGCTCACGCCTGTAATCTCAGCACTTTGGGAGGCAAAGGTGGGTGGATCACCTGAGGTTAGGAATTCGAGACCAGCCTTGCCAAAACAATGAAACCCCGTCTCTATTAAAAATATAAAAAATTAGCTGGGCATGGTGGCGGGTGCCTGTAATCCCAGTTACTTGGGAGGCTGAGGTAATCACTTGAACCCGGGAGGTGGAGGTTGCGGTGAGCAGAGATCATGCCATTGCACCCCAGCCTGGGGGACAAGAGTGAAATGTCGTCTCAAAAAAACAAAAATAAATAAAAAAGAATTTATTGCAGAGTATTTAAATATTTAATAGATGCAATGAGCCATATATGTATATCTACAGCTTCAGGACACATGTGCTAAACTTTTTGGTCTCATGATCTCTTGACACTTAAAATGTACATTTGTAATTAGGATCCCAAACTTTGGAACTCTAATTCCAAAGTTTTGGATCCTAATCCAAAAACTCTTTGGAATCCTAATTCCCAAGCATTCCAAAGGGAGTTTTTGTTTATGGAGGTTCAATCTATGGATACTTATTTTAAGAAATTAAAACAAAACATCTTATGTATTTATTTAACAAAAAAATTAGTGAGAAGGAGAGTATTGTTTTATACTCTTGCAAATCTCTTTAATGATCATACATCTTTAAACTCTAGAAAACTCTTCTGTAAAATTATGAGAGAATGTGTGAAAGATGTGAATAATATATTGGTATCATTATAAAAATGGTTTTGATTTTGTGGGGCTTCAGAGGACTGACAGGGATATAGATATGATACAGCTTTTTTTCCTTAGCAAAGTGGATAAGACAAATACAGAGCAATCACAAAGGCACACATGAAAAGCATAAATGAGCTGTCACAGTGAAATGGACACATGAACCGACAGAAGTAGTTTGGTGTGGTGACTGGAAGTTTGGGTTTGGAAGGAGTTTTGGTCTAGACTCTAGCAAAACTTTGTGGAAGGTCGACTTGGAGCCAGGTCTTGAACAAAGCAGGGATCATACACTGTTGATAAGAAGTGAAGATCACAAACTACATGTCAGATTTGGTGGAAAAAAATTAGTGGATTAAAGGTAAAGTGTCTGTAGTTCAACTCAAAGGACATCACCTTTTTTGCCCACACGCATGGAGAATAACTCTGGATGTGAGGAGAGAGGAGCAAAGGATAAACCCAAAACTTCAAAAGAAAAAATCACATCATAGATATCTCTAGTGGTGAACGATACTGCAACAGAAGTGGGAGGGAGGGAAGAGAATATTACAAAAATATTTCATAAATAAAGAGTTCTTAGAAATAAAAAAAATATGATAGAAAAAGTAAACAACTCAATGGAAGCATTAAGAGAAAGCTAAGATTATCTTTCAGAAACTAGAAAAAAGGTCAAAGACCTAGAAAATAGTAGCAAAAAGAGTAGAAAAAGGGCAGACCTGTCAAATATCAAAAAAAAAAAAAAAAAAAATACATCTAACAGAATGAGAAAACAAAGGAAAGGAAATTTTTTGAAAAATCTCAATAAACCTCATAGAAATGAAAGATTGTTTCCAAGTACATGGCTGTCTGGGAACCCAGCACAAAGATTGAAAGTGGATTCACACAAGGTACATTGATTACTGTGAGATTTCAGAATACTGGGAACAAAGCAATTATTGAAGCTTCCGGGGAAAAAAAAAAAAAAAAAACAAGTGATATGTAAAAAGTATCAAGCAACTCAATTGCTCGACAGAAATACGAGACACAGAAGACATTTCTTCAGAGTTCTTAGGGAAAAGTATTTCCAGCCCAAAAGAAAAACATTTTTTTTTTTTGAGACAGAGTCTCACTCTGTCACCCAGGCTGGAGGGCAGTGGCCCAATCTTGGCTCACCATAACCTCCACCTCCTGGGGTCATGTGATTTTCCTGCTTCAGTTTCCCAAGCGGCTGGGACTACAGGTACTAGATTTGTATCTTCAGTACAGACAGGATCTTGCCATGTTGCACAGGCTGGTCTCAAACTCTTGGCCTCAAAAGATCCACCGGCCTTGGTCTCCCAAAGTATTGGGGTTACAGGCATGAGCCACTGTGCCTGGCCCAGCCAAACTATTAATCAAGGGTAAGAGCAATATGAACATACATATACTGAAACACCCAAGGCCTCAAAAATAGATAATAACTGAAGAGTAAGTCATGACAAGACAGGCAATAGTACTCTTGTGGATAATGGTGAAAGGACATTTAAAGCTTTTCCTTAAGTGTTTTGTATTAAGAGATTTATACAACAAAGGGAAAGGTTAGAGTTGTCTAATTTTAAGGCACAGAAAACTAAGCCCCACCCCACTCAAGAGATAATTACATTTATTAAATCAAGCGATAACAAAATAATGTTATTTTTTAAAAATGCAGTCATTTCATAGTTCAGCTGTGAATAGCATGTACAAAGTCACAAAACTATAAACCCTAAACATTGGTGTAGCTGAAACTATGATACAATGAAAGAATAGAGAAGGACAGGAAGTATGGGGGTGGGGAAAAGTAAGCAATGAAAGAGAGCGGAATCATCATTTTCCATAGTAGAAAACGTGTATTTAATATCTCCAACAGAAAAATCAACAACTAGCCATACTATGTGCATGCATAACTTTGACACAATTAAAAGCTACATTTTAAGACCATACAGCAACTGCCTAGTTTGTACTGCTTGAAAGTGGTCTAACAGAAGGGCTGGGTTGTAAGTGGTTAACCCTAGTCACATCAGCATGAAAACGAGAGAAGAATGGCATTCCCAGTACCAGTCAGAGTCACGCAGCGTGAGATACCATAAAGACACACATAAATTAACTGGGACAATATTCATCATGAACAAGAGATAAAAAGTCCTTTTGATGCTGTAAGCAAAACATTATGCAGTCAAGAACATGCAAATGGTGACTGCAGAAAAAATATAATTAGGGTCTTGTTGTGTAGAGGGGGAGGAAAACGGATAGAAATTCTAGAGGAATACATTAGGTGGAGCAGGAGGAGGGGATAACTGTGTTTCTACACAAAAGGAACCCACTGACAAGCACAGAAAACTTCACCTCCCACTCAGGGTCTAGCCAAGAGGCAATTCTCCTTCCCTGTTGAAGAAAGATATTTTCTTTCCTATAATATGAGAATGGTAGAAGTAAAACAACTACATACTGTTATATTAAGTCTTGTGACCAGTTTCCAAAATCAAATAAGGTCATTCCCACAAAGGCCCTACAACATGGTTGGATGTTGATTCAGGTGGTAGAACAGATTTTGATGATTTGAAAATTACAAATGGAGGTAATGGGAAATGTAAATGGATAAATGAGGAAAAACCCAGACTATGCCAAGAATCCAAGCAGAGGACTTTGTTTTCAATTTAAGACACAACTTGAAAACTTGTTTGTAAAAGGATCTTCATCCTCCCATTCCAAAAGAATTACCAGCAAAGAGAAAAAGGAAGATAGCATACTACAGCCAAGGATATTTCAACAGTGAGCAATAAGGGTGGTAGGTCAAAATGATTACTTACAGCTTGGGAATCTTAAAAACTTATGATGGACCGATACGACTAATAATTGTTTTGCAGGCTGAAAAAAGCTCCCAGCTGCTAAAACAAACTGCCCATCAAAAGGACTAGAAAATTCCCATATAAGAAAATGGAAAGAACACTAATGGAAACTTGAGAAACAAGACAACATTGGACCTAAAGAGTCTTTTTCATCTGAAAGGACAGTAAATGTAGTTTGTATTTGATTAGAGGACAGTCTAGCAGAAATACTAACAAAATTCGAATGAAAATATGCCATTGCTTCCTTGGATTTCCATTTGGCAGTTCAAGTCTCCCTTGAAGTGAGAAGGATATAATTAGGGGTCTCCAATTTAAACTGTGCTGGTGAGTCATAATTGTGATACTCAAGAGTTAGTCATAATAACCCTGTACTGACACAGAGAAGAAATGGGCCTAATTCTGACACTCAAATATGCCTATACGTTAACTAACTTGCTTATTGTGGGAACTACAGTAACTAGTTAAAAGCACATTAGTGAAGTAATAGAACAGCAGAACCTATATCCCTTTCTGAGTATCACTGAGATGTAGCAATGAATTTTAAAATCACATATTTTCTTTTTTTCCTGTAAAATCAAATGTATTTTCTAATTTTATATATATATATACATATACTCATATTTGCACATATATTTCAAGATTTAAAGGTTTACTCATTTAGTTATTAACACCACTTACTATAAAGCTAAAAGTGATTTAAAACCAATATTACATGGCTAGGCACAGTGGCTCACCATGCCCAGCCTGTAATTCCAGCACTTTCGGAGTGCTGGAATTCCAGCACTTTGGGAGGCCAAGGTGGATGGATCACTTAAGGCCAGGAGTTCTGAGACGAGCCCGAGCAACATGATGAAACTTCATGTCTACTAAAAATCACAAAAATTAGCTGGCTGTGGTGGTGCACGCCTGTAATTCCAGCTACTTGGGAGGCTGAGGCACAAGAATCGCTTGAATCCGGGAGGCAGAGGCTGCAGTGAGCTGAGATTGTGCCACTGAACTGCAGCCTAGATGACAGAGTCTAGATGACTCTGTCTCCAGCAACAACAAAAAACATTATTACAGAGCTAAAGTCTCAGGGAGAAACCTGAGCGCATGGTCATGCTGAATGCCTGCAGTTTGACCTTTTTTTCTCTCTCTTGTTTTCGCTAATTGTAATCCAATTTTTCTAAAAATGTGCAGAAAGACCAGTTCGATTATTAAATGTTTCCTTTAGCAAAGCATAATCCAATTGCTCACGGGAGAAATTTTCATCCTTTCAGATTTCCACAAGCCACAGTAAAAAACATAATTACTTTGGAGAATATATCATAAGCGAGATGTATTTCATAAAGGAAAAGAGAATCTGATTAGAGTTCTATTACATAATGTGTCCTGCCATGACGTTTGTATTTTACTGCTAAGCAATAACGACAATGCAATAAGAAATACACTGTCATACTAACTTGGCATGCAGGAGCATTCGCTTTGCTAGGAAATGTTTCAAAGTGAAGACATATCTTCAGAAAACAGCCTATCACAAGGACCTTGAAATATCCTCAGTAGTAATTTTCCCCAGCTCTACAAAATTGCTAACCAGTTATTTGATGTCAGCCCCTTCATAATAGCAAAGAAAAGTTAAGGATGAGAAATCATCAGGAGGCATTTCACTACTAAGAGGAGCAGAAAATGAGGTTGACTCCATTTTTATTCCCCCATCAGGAGTGTGGCACAAAATGGCTCAAGTGTTGCTTAAATCCCCAAGAGATATGAGTTATATAAATCCAGATCAACTGGCAAATAATATATATTTCTCAGTGGCTCTCCCTGAGTATTCCAACAGCACAATCTTGACCACCAAGTGATTCAGAGGCAAACCGGTTCTGAAGGAGAGGAAACTTTCCAGTTCTAAACTGAAGACAAACTGTAAGGGCCAGTTTACTCGCTGACTCACATCTGCTGTTGTGCAACACATTCTGAGGCCCTCTCTTGAGCTCAGTTCCAGTGGATTAGCGTCACACTAATAAAGATGCTTGAGCTGGAGATCCAGCTCTGAGATTAACACGATCCCCCAGGGGCAGGCAATAGCAAACGTTTCTGTGCCTCATAGCTGGGCATATATTGGCTATTATCACAGGTTTCTGAACCATATTGTTCATTACTGATAAATCCTTTTAAAATCATCCATGTCCTTTTTTCCAAGACTGCTTTGAACAATAAGACAATGAATTCTGGTTAGCACTTTGTGTTTGATATCCACTTCCAGATGGCAAGGGGCAATGCAGTGGGGCACAATTTGAAAGACTAAGATGAGGACTAAATAGAGAGGTGGCTCAGGTTATACTTGCACTTACTCTTTTTATGGGGAGAGGCCAGAAATGAAAAAAATAGAAAAGGGAGAGTGCAAAACAGAAAAACTGTACAAAGTATTTTTTGGTTAATTAATTTTTTTATTTTTATTTTTATATTTTACTTTGAACATGAAGCTTCCCAGCAGACAGCACACAGTTAAATTCAGTCTTACTGCTTCCTAGTGACTCTTACAAACACTTCTGATCCAAATGATCTATTATATTGCAATTTCTTTTCTGTCTACATGACTAGACTTGTTACTTAAATGGACATAGCATTGCAAGACAACACAGGCTGCTTAGCAGTGACTGCCAAAGGCATATAAAGTCAGTTATCAATGAAATAATTTAGTCCTCCAAGATCATTACATGGGATTCTGCTCCAACATCTTTTATCTTTATACATACTACCTTAAATATTTTTCAGTAATTCCCTTCAACTTTATTTAACTTAATCACTCATATCATCTTTCCTCTTTGAAAAAGTTTCCCTATTGAGTTTCAGTTCAGCATTTTTTTTTTTTTTTTTTGAGATGGAGTTTTGCTTGTTGCCCAGGCTGGAATTCAATGGCGCGATGTCAGCTCACTGCAACCTCTGCCTCCCGGGTTCAAGCGATTCTCCTGCCTCCGCCTCCAGAGAAGCTGGGATTACAGGCATGTGCCACCACGCCCGGCTAATTTTGTACTTTTAGTAGAGACTGGGTTTCACCATGTTGGTCAGGCTGGTCTCAAACTCCCAACCTCAGGTGATCCACCTGCCTCGGCCTCCGAAAGCGTGGGATTACAGGTGTGAGCCACCAAGCCTGGCCCCAGTTCAGCTATTCTTATATCCAAGAGGACCTCTATATAATTATGCAAAACTGACTAAATATGAAATCATGTTTAAAATATTCTTGGCTTGGTGTGGTGGCTCTTGCCTATAATCCCATCACTCTGGGAAGCTGAGACAGGAACACTGCTTGAGCCCAGCTTCAACAACATAGCAAGACCTTGTCTCCACAAAAAAGTGGTTTCTTGGGTGGCTGAGGTGGGAGGAGCGCTTGAGCCCAGGAGGTCAAGTCTGCAGTAGCTGTGATGGCACCACTATATTCCAGCCTGGGTGTCAGAGCAAGACCCTATCTCAAAAAAAAATAAGCCAATAATTAATTTAAAATAAATAGGTGGATCACAAGGTCAGGAGATCCAGACCAACCTGGCCAATATGGCGAAACCCCGTCTCTACTAAAAATACAAAAATTAGCTGTGCATGATGGTGGGTGCCCGAACCCCAGCTACTTGGGAGGCTGAGGCAGGAGAGTTGCTTGAACCCAGGAGGCGGAGGTTGCAGTGAGCCGAGATGGTGCCACTGCACTCCAGCCTGATGACAGAGTGAGACTCCGTCTCTAAATACATACATACATACATACATAAATGTCTTTATACAGGCCAGGTGCAGTGGCTCACATCCACAATCTCAGCACTTTGGGAGGCCAAGGGAGGAGGACTGCTTGAGGCCAGGAGTTCAAGACCATGTCTGTACAAATTTTTTTTTTTTAATTAGCCAGGTGTGGTGGTGTGCACCTATAGTCCCAGCTACTTGGGAGGCTGAGGTGTAAGGACCACTTGAGCCCAGGTGTTTGAGGCTGCAGTGAGTTATCATCACACCACTGCACTCCAACCTGGGTGACAGTCAAGACCCTGTCTCTAAAAAAATGTAAAAAATATTATTTACACAAAAAGAATGCTAAGATGAACGTTATAAAAGACAAAAGTCACTCACACAAATAGAAATTTCACCAGTCATCATCAACATGGGTCTATAACTACCCTTACCACAATGAAAGACACTTGAAAATATGGTTTTTAAGGGGAATTTAGGGCAGTAGATTTATTTTGACTTCCTCATTTCTGAAAAATTAAGAAACTCTTCAATATCTCACTTCCTAATTTACTTTTTATTTTATCATCTTTGCCATCAACGTTTTCATAAAACGACAAAGAAAGCAAAAATCAAATACAATGCTAACGTCAAAACCAGTGAAATTCACCAATTGCCTTCATAACCTCACATGAAAGTAAGACAACCTGAACAGAGATATCTATCCCATTCTGTAGCGTAGGCCAATTAAGTAACTTGTCCAACAAGTAACTAGAAGTTCTATGGTTTCACTAAAGCACGTCAGATTCTACACTCAGAGCTCAAATGAGTAGAATCAGTGAGGTTGGGAGAAACAGGAATCATTCAGCTTCTTCTCCAATCTTACATTTTGGTTACAACTTTAAACACACACACACACAACCTACCCCTTTTCCGAGTTTTGAACCGCTGGCCTGTTAGCACTGGCTTCTGATGCTTATTCATAAAATTTCTGAAAACAAAGAAAATAAAGATTATGTATTTCAAATAAGCAGTTTATATGAAAAAAATATGGGCAATAAATTTGGTTGAACATATGTTTAACCTCTCTCATTACTGAATATGCCTTTTATTTTTTAAATTGAGACAGAGTCTCGCTGTCGCCCAGGTGGGAGTGCAGTGGTGTGATCTCAGCTCACTGCAACCTCCGCGTCCCGGGTTCAAGTGATTCTCCTGCCTCAGCCTCCTGAGTAGTTGGGACTACAAGCTTGAGCCACCACGCCTGGCTAATTTTTGTATTTTTAGTAGAGACGGGGTTTCACCATGGTGGCCAGGTCTTGAACTCCTGACCTTGTGATCCACCTGCTTTGGCCTCCTGAAGTGCTGGGATTACAGGCGTGAGCCACGGCGCCTGGCATAAATACACTTTTAAAAATGAGATCTAATTTTAACTCAGACTAGCCAAAATTTTAAAGTTTACCAATACTCAGCGTTGGCAAAGGACACAGGAAAAACCACCACAGACACCAACTTTGATGTAAAGGTTAAACTCCATGAGGAAAATTTCGGTGAGTATCTATAAATATTTACAGGGGCATAACCTTGGTCCAGCAATACCTTATCAGGAATTTATCCTATAGTTATGTTCACACAAGAATGCAAATATACTTGTATATGTAAAAGGATTTAGTTGCAGCATTGTTTTCAGTTGCAGCATTGTTGTATACATAAAAGTGGAACATGAAATGTCTTCAAATAAGCTATAATGTAGCCACCAAGTGGGACACCATGAAGCTTATGAAAGCATGAATTAGATCTAACTGTACTACATTTCTGATCCTGGCTACCTTTCTGACTATATATGTATATTCAATACACATCTTGTCTCATCGCTCATTGAATTCCAGTCACATTGATCTCTTTGTTGTTCTTCCAATAGGCCAGATAAGGTGTGGCTTCTGAGGCTCTGTTCCTGCCTCTCTTTCAGGAAAGATCTTCCCCAGCTGTCCACATGGCTATCTCCTTGCAATCATTCAAATGTATCCCTGAAAAGGGAGGTCTTCTCTGACCATCTCCACCAAAGTGGCCCGTTGTCAATAGCTCTCTTTACCTAGCTTTATTTTTCTTTAGCAGTGCCTGTCATTTTATTATTATCTCTTTGTCTAGGGTCTATACCCCCAATGAGTGTAACCTCCACTAGGACAGGAACCTTGTAGGTTTTTATTCCATAGAGCTCCTTTAGCTCCTCCATTCTGCACCTTTTACATTGAGCAAAGTATAAACATATAATAAATACTTTTCAAATAAGTTGCTGGACTGATATGGAAAGATGCTCAAGGGATAATGATAGTGGAAAAAAGCAAGCTGAATAAAAGAATGTAAAGTATTTGGTTATAAGGAGGGTGTATAGAATATATGGTTTTCTATGCAACAACAATTTAAGAAGGATAAAGAAACTATTAATAAATTTTTTATTTTTTGGTTTACCTTAATGGACAGGGATTTGAGTACGTCATACTATTTTACTGGATTTAATACACAATTTAAAAAATGTAATATTATCTTTGAAAAAATGTAAGGCCTGCTCCACAAGACTTCTTAAAAATTGAGAATATGCTTGTTGATATACATATCATAAACTGAAAGTATGTCTAGATTGCTTCAATTATGAAGGCCAAATATTCAATATAACATGCATTACTCAAGCAAATTATTTAATTACCTTCCAAAGATTTTAGCATTCATTTGAAAATGTCTAGATTTCCTTAATTACTTATGCCAGCAAACAATAACAAATTTACATTATTCAAGTAATTTAATTACTCCTGAAAGTTTGTTTAAATCCTTAAGAACATGAAAAAAACTATTTATGTACCAAATATTCCTTCTTACTGCATAAAAGAGAAACTTGTAGCTTCACATAATGAAAAATCTGTTTATTATTGAAAACTTCAAGTTAATCATTATTTTAGAAGGGAAACTAATTAAAAGTCACATAAAAACACAAAAAGTAATTACATGGTTTGAGAAATAATTTTTATCAACCCTATAAAATAAAATGAACTTAATACATCACGCTTGGAGATACAAAGGTTATTAAGCCAGAATCCATGCCCTCGAGAAACTCATTGGGAGGGATAAAATTCTAACATTTGCAACACAATGTAATAGTTCAAACAGCAGAAACACAGACCAGTGCAAGAATAAAGTGATTGCTTATGTGTATGGGGCAACAGCAACATATTGAAATCATTACAAATTCTATAAACTTAATCAATGAATTCTCATTTCATTTGATGGATGTTGAAAACAGAGCTTCTAATGCATCATTTATATTCACTGCAAAAGTTTCATTCAGAAACTTTCCTGCTGGCATTATAAACAGATTCACTCTGGATCAGCCAATACTTTATTGTTGCAAAAGTGATGATGATATACATATTATTGTCTCCATATCTTCCATACAAAATGTATTTGTGTTAGCAAAGAAAAATATGTGTCAAAGAATTTGGGTGTTGGGTCTTGTACCAAGATGCAAAAAGAATGTAGCTCAACTAGACAGAAATCTCTCCAGCAGATTTCTCTGCCAAAGATGTTTTTCTTCTTTCTTTCTGTCCTTCCTTTTTCTTTCTCTCTCCTTCCTTCCTTTTTTTTTTTCTCTCTCTACTTCCTTAGAGATGAGAGTGTTACTATGTTGACTAGGGTGACTTCAAACTCCTGGACTCAAGCAATTCTCTCATCTCAGCCTCTTGAGCAACTGGGATTACAGGCACACACCACTGTTCCAGGCTAAAAATGGTTTTTAATTTGTAATTTCAAAAATTCTAAAGTGTGAGTCCCTCCTAAAAGTTTTATTTTGGGGTTTAGAATACAAACTCATGGAATTCCCTAATTAACTCTCTGCACCTTGTTTCTATTATTTCTGTTAATGGAGAAGTACCACCAAACATAGCATATGAAAGAATTACTCTATTTTCAAAATCTTTAGCTTTTATACTTACTTCCTTTCTAAGCATAAAAGTTTGTTTCTTTATAACCCAGCTATGTGGGCTTACTTTTCATACCCTCGATATGTTCCATGTGCACAAACACATAATAACATGCAAACATAAAAATGTACTCAAAGACTTTGATATAACAACCAAAATCAGAACAAACAAACAAAAACTCACCCACTGGTGGTGACAGACTAAATGAAGATATTCTGCTCTCCAAGAGTGTCTATCCCTTAGCTGTTACTATTTGGAGCAGAGGCCCCGCTTCCCTCTAAATTTAGCTCTTCATGCTACACTATAATCTGCTCCAGTAAGGGTCAGCCTTTATAAGGTACTCACTGAGCCCTTACAAAAGCCCTGGCCTAAGAGAAGCAAGGACACTTTGAATAAGAAATTGTTAGCTTCAACCTAGGAAAATAACAAAGAAACAGTAACAATGACAGTTCTATTAGGCCAATGTCAAAGGCTGTTAGTACACTGCCCTACAATGTAGTTTCAAATCTAATAACTAAAAATACATAAGTTTAAAAAAATAAAAGTTTAACAGTATCCTCAGAGAGAAATCCCTGTGGGGTACAACCTATGCATCAAGACAATTTGGATTCTGTTTTAAAAACTATAAGCCACACACAAAATACGCACATATTCTACCAAAATGGAACAGTTCCATGGTTTAAAATAATATTAAAATTGTATGTAAAATGGTAAACAAAATGGACTTAAGTATTTCACATGTCATCTAAGAGACTACATTTCTTGGATAGTCCATATAAAGAGTAAAAGAAGGTTATAAGAATACTAAAATGATCCAATCAATCAAATATTTAGAAACTTGATACTATATTAATGAATTGAACACTTTTGCAAAAATTCCCATTTTAAGTGTAAATTGAGAGGTTTTTAGGTCTAACCTATTACATCTATTTCTGTTACCTACCTCACTCTGTTAATCTTCTAACTGTCCTAGCATCTTTTTCAAATTCGGTCCCTTAACTCTGGGCTCAGGTGTAACAATGAGCCACACTGCCACAGGTGCATCTCATGGCAACTGTGCACTAATCCTTCCAGTTGCCCACCCCACCTTAAGTGGATTAGCACCTTCGATGTAAACAGATCAGTCTTACCTGGGACTCTTCTTTACTTCTCTCCATTTTGGAAAGGAACTGATCTACCAGAAGACTTACCTTCTAGTTGTCCCTACAAGGGAATGACTGCTCCTGTCTAATTATCCAGCACTTTGGTCTTAGATTCTATTTTTGACTGTTCTTGTCTGACTCATCTTTGAACTATGATAACCTGCCTTACGTAACATGCTATATTACTAACATGTGCTATGCATATGTTATTTAAACAACTTTAACTTTATGAGCATATATACTCTAAAGCAGGGAATACAACATTTTTTGTAAAGAAAATATTTTACTCTCTCTGTGGGATATAAGGTTTCTGTTCCAACCACTCAATTCTGCTGTTACAGTGTGAAAGTAGCAATGGACAATGTGCAAACAAATGGTCATGGCCGTATTCCAATAAAACTTCATATTAACTCAAGTCGTAGACCAGATTGGACTCCCAGGAGGTCCTTTGTGAACTCCTATTCTAGAGCAGTGTATCCAATAGAAGTGACTGTGATGATGGAAATGTTCTATATCAGCACTATCTAATACGGTAGCCACTACTGATCCCTTGAAATGTGGCTAGTGACTAGAGAAATAAATGTTTAATTTTATTTTATTTCCATTAACTAAATTTAAACAGTGTGGCTAATAGTTAGTTATGTTGGGCCATGCAATTCTTATGTCCCAAAACACTTAAATTTGATACAAAGGTAAAAATAAATCTAAAGAATAGAAATTTTTAATTAATATTTTTCAAATAAAGTAGCTCTAAGAGTATTCTGCACATATTTCAAAGCCAGGTGGCCATAGTGAGGAAAAAAGAAAAATTACCGCATTTCAAAGTAATATTCTGTGTGCAGTCAATATTGTTTAAGACTTGAGGGAAAAAAGACTTTTTTTTTTTTCTTTTTTATATGAGTCCGCCGCTCTGTAACCGCGGCTACACAGGTTAGGGTGTGATCTCTGCTACCTGCACGCCTAACGCCCCCCTCTGGGACTCACAGCAGATCCTCCCAAGTAGCTGGGATACCGGATGCCAGCAGGCTCCGCGCTAACTTTTTCCGTATACGTGCGTTGGTAGAGAAGGATCTTTCCCCCCATGTTGCCACGAGATGGAAAAAGACTTCGTGGGAGGTCCAAAGAATCTATAGGGGCAACAAATCAGTGATCAAAGTATAGAAATGTTTCCATAAAGCATGACATAATACGACAACCACACAAAACTCAGTAAAAAAATTGGACCACCTTCACTGCAGTGTCTCAGTGAAGTACTCTTGTATTTTAGCTAAGCAAGTTTCAAGAAGTACCCTGTCTAATTCTATAGGCAAATGAGTAAAGATTAGGTCTAGCTATTAAGAACAAGCTTTAAAAATGTACCCATATCTATACAGCATTTCTTCCTTCATTAATGCTAAAATTACCAAGAACAACGCAATATACCAATCCTCTTCAAAACTACAGAGGCCATCCAGGGAGTTCTTTTGGGCCGTTGAACCTCTGTATTATCACTTGTTTCTCCAAGAAACCAAAAAATAATTACAATTGGTTTTGGAGGAGAGGTTTGAAATGTATTGATACTCCCCTAAGCACCAAAATGAAACTGGGGCGGGAGGACAGCGAGCGTATGTCCCTAATCCACTAACACTACAACTTCGTCCTGCCTGAAATACACATTAGCGTTGCGTTTAATATCCCTTATCATGCCCGATTTTGTAACAGGCTCTGCCTACTCCACAATCTCAGCGACCAGTACAAAAACGCTTATACCAACAAATCAGTGCTCTGAAAGTTGCTACGCTCCATTTATAAACAATTTAAAAAATGTAAAACTTCAAACCAATACGAGCTGAATAGTTCCAGCTCTAAAGGGCACACAATAAAGTCAAATGCTCTTTTTTCTATACGAAAGAAACATCACTTGCTGTTGGCCCCCGGAGCAGTGGCTCCAATCGGCCCTGTAATCAGCGCTTTGGGAACCGAACGGAGGCGATGGATCATGAGGGTCAGCGCGAGAGTCGAGACAACCTGTCCAACCACAGTGAACCCTTGTCTCTACTAACATAGGCAAAAATTAGTCCAGACGACTGGTGGCGGCACGTACTCTGGGAGGCTGAGGCAGGGTCACTTGCACCCAGGACTAGAGGGGTCGGTAGTGGAGCTGAGATTGCACCACTGCACTCTACGCCTGGCACAAAGCAAGACTACCGTCTCCAGAAAAACGACCAAAAAAAAGAAAAACCAACAAAAACAATATATGACCTAGGCGTGTAGACGTCATACTCCCCCTATTCCTTTCATTCTTATCCTGAATAATATAAAAGAACAAAAATAACTTTTAAAAAAAAGCATTAAACAGGGTCAGGCGAGGAAATCCAGCAATTTGGGAGGCTGAGGCAGGAGGATTGCTTGAGCTCAAGAGTTGGAGACCAGCCCAGGCAACATGGCGAAGCTTGGTCTCTTAAAAAATAATAAAAAAAAAAATTGTTAAGTATAGTCTCCTCAAAAATGTATATATTTTCCAGTGACGAACTTTAATGGTGGACTCTTTACTTGCACCAACTATCTACCTTATGAAGAGTTATTAAAGCCCAAATAACTTGTGTCCTGTGAAGAGAGCACTTCAAGTTAAATGTTAAGTCTCCTTTAATAAAACATAAAGGCACCATGATAAAGTTTTCATTTTATTATACTTCCAAAACCACTTTACACCTTAAACTAATTAGTAGACCTAAGTTGTAAATGCTTGTTTTTAAAATTTCCTTTTAAATAAAAATAAAAATATTACAAAAATTACATTTTAAATATCCGTGTAGAAACAATTTAAGGCAACTACACAATGTCACTTACTTTATCTCAGTGAAGCTTTTTTCAAAAACTTTTAAGAAGTATAAATTAATTCCTAAAATCCTTCCGCTCTAGGAGTCACTTCCTGGTCTCTAGTTAATGCAATTCTACTTTTCTAAGAGGCCCCTTAAGGCATGTGCATTCCTTCCTCTGGGCCCTTGCACTTTCCCCAGATGAGTTATCTCCCAGGCCCTGCCCTTCCCCCAACAGCTGGCCAGCTCATCCAATCTTCCAGATGGTCTAATTTTGCTGATGTCATTCTTATGTCTTTCAACACTCAGAGAGACATAAACACATCTACACTACCCATATCGTAGCATACTTTGGCTTTTAGAAAACCCATCCCTCAAATATAATGTTTCAGGGTACTTTAACAAAATGCCCTAAAACCTCTGCCCTCGATAAGTTAAGACCCTTAAGTCTGAAATTTCAATGAAGTGCTGAGGTTGAGAAACCCTACTGTAGAGAGAAAACAATGGTGAGCAAAGCCAGAGATGGTCCCTGCTCTCAAGGGCTGAAAATTCTGCACCCAGGTCTAAACACACCCGTGGCAACTAAGCATGTTATCATTGAACTACTTACTCGTATTTGCCAAACACTGGTGTCACATTTTAGAAAAAAACAAAGTTTATCACTGAATAGATAGTCATATCTCAAACCAAAAGTACAGTTAGAATGTACAAAATACATGTTTCCCAGTCTCTGATACTAACAATTTATTTCTGAAATTGGTAATTTTACATCTTATGCAATTCAGTGGGAGGGCAGAGGATAGGCAAGAATACGGGCTTTAAAGAGAGCAGAGAAAGAAGCTCAATACCAGCAAACTTTTTCTACTTTAGGGTATTGCATCAATGGAAACAAAAACAAGAAGGAAAAGCGAAATTTTAATATACAATGTGTGACTTAAAAATGAAATTGTCTAATTTCTATGACTTTGAGAAAACAATGACATGCTATGTAGATACAGCAAAATGCAATATTCCATATACATGATGTGATCTTGGCTATGTAAAACACACTCACATCCAGTGATGGTCAACATGAGTAGTGGGTTCAAGGCACTTTTTATTCTTCTTACCTATTCTTGTCCATATTTTCCGTAATATAAATACATATCCTTTTTATAATTAGAAAAATGTATATACTTAAGTGAAAAGGTTTTAAACTCTTTTGACGTTCAAACCAATTCTCAAGGAGTCACAAGCAATAATAACATTTTTGCATAAAAAGATATGTGCCACAGGATCTAAATATCACTCCCTACTGAGAGAAACCAAGGTTCGTTGGATAAATGGCTGATTCCAAGGTTGGAGCAGGGGAGAGTCACTACGATCCTGGGATGTCTTGTGTCAGAAAATTCACAAGTGCCTTAAAAAAAATCAAGCTGAAACAAAACAAGAGCAGTCTTGAGGACAATTCCACTGGCCTAGCCCGGGGCAATTTGAGGACGCAAATAACTAAGGACAATAGCTAATAACCCATTCAACAAAATACAAACCCACAGGTCCATGCTCATAACTTTTTGGTTCATTTGAAAGAAAACAAATTTTTCAGTACACAAGGAAAGGGAAGGAGGTGAAAGATTTTCTTTCAGTAGAATGTCAACTAATAATCAGAGAATGAAATATTGAATTAGAAAATCACCATTTTGCAACAATTAAATAAAAAATTGATTCATGCAAGAGTAATCAATGTATGCTAAACCTATATGGGTGGGTAGGTGGGTGGGGGTGGGTGTGTGTGTGTGTGTGTGTGTGTGTGTGTCTGTGCTGGGGAGTGCTTGATGATCAACAGGATACTTACATAGCCTTCAAGCATCTTCACATAAAATTTTTAAAAAATATATAACTACACATTGGAGAAACAAGACAACACCTTAACCAAAGGACAACATACAATCACTACAACTTCAGATATTTTACACTTAGAAGGACATATTGCTCATGTGGTACTCTAGACAAAAACACATGATCTGAAGAGCTAATCATGAGGAAATAGATGTATATCTAGGAACATTCTCCAAAACAACTGGTCTGTATTCTTCATAAATGGCAACATCTTTCCAAAACAAAGGCTTAAGAACTGTTCCAGGAGAATTAAAGGGGAGTTGCCGAATGCAATACACATTCCTCGACTGAATGCTGTACTGGGAAAAAATATTTATGTATATATATAGTGGTTCATATATATACACACACACACACACACACACACACATATATATATACATACAAATATATGACACTATTGCGACAACCTAAGAAGTTGGAGTATAGAGATAAAATTATGGTATCTATGTTAAAATTTACTGAATTTTTTTTTGCACTGTGGTTCTGTAAGAAAAGTATCTTACTTTTACAGAATAAATACTGAAGAAATAAGGGATAAAGGCAGAAAGTGTATGCAACCTACTCTCAAATGATTAAGAACTAAAATTGATTATGTATACATAGAACCCTGAAGCAATGGCAAACACAGGAAGCCATATGTATTTAGGGCTGGGCATGGTGGCTCAGGTCTATAATCCCAGCACTTTGGGAGGCAAATATCATATGATCTCACTCATGTAGAAACTAAAGTTGGTATCATAGAAGTAGAGAGTAGAATATTAGTTTCCCGGAGACAGAGGAGAATAGGAGTGAAGTGGGGATGGGGAAAGACTGGTGAACAGGTACAGAGTTACAGTTAGGAAGAATAAGCTCTAGTGTTCCATTGCACAATAGAGTTATTATAGTTAACAATAATGTATCATACGCTACAAAAGAGCTAGAAGAAAGGATTTTGATTGTTCTTACCACAAAGAAATGACGTGCTCGATGTAATGAATATGCTAATCACTCTGATTTAATTATTACACAATGTATATGTGTATGGAAACACCACACTGTACCCCATATATAAACAATTACTATATGTCAGTTAAAAACAAAACTTTAAGAAACTACTCAAAAAATTATTTTTTCTACAAAGTATTTTAAATACATTTATCAAAGCAATACACATAAACAC